AAACCTTAAAAATATTTTTGTAAAAAATCCACGTTTATAAATAGACCTTAAAAATATTTTTTATAAAATCCACGTTTATAAATGGACCTTAAAAAATATTTTTTAAAAAATCCACGTTTATAAATGGATCTTAAAAAATATTTTTTAAAAATCCACGTTTATAAATGGACCTTAAAAAATATTTTTTAAAAAATCCACGTTTATAAATGGACCTTAAAAATTTTTTTTAAAAAATCCACGTTTATAAATGGACCTTAAAAATATTTTTTAAGAAATCCACGTTTATAAATGGACCCTACAAAATATTTTTTAAAAAATCCACGTTTATAAATGGACCTTAAAAAATATTTTTTCAAAAATCCACGTTTATAAATGGACCTTAAAAATATTTTTTAAAAAATCCACGTTCATAAATGGACCTTAAAAATATTTTTTAAAAATTCCACGTTTATAAATGGACCTTAAAAATATTTTTCAAAAAATCCACGTTTATAAATAGACCTTAAAAATATTTTTTATAAAATCCACGTTTATAAATGGACCTTAAAAAATATTTTTTAAAAAATCCACGTTTATAAATGGATCTTAAAAAATATTTTTTAAAAATCCACGTTTATAAATGGACCTTAAAAAATATTTTTTAAAAAATCCACGTTTATAAATGGACCTTAAAAATTTTTTTTAAAAAATCCACGTTTATAAATGGACCTTAAAAATATTTTTTAAGAAATCCACGTTTATAAATGGACCCTACAAAATATTTTTTAAAAAATCCACGTTTATAAATGGACCTTAAAAATATGTTTTGAAAAATCCACGTTTATAAATGGACTTTAAAAAATATTTTTTAAAAAATCCACGTTTGATATAGGTTGTTAAAAATATTTTTTAAAAAATCCACGTTTATAAATGGACCTTAAAAAATATTTTTTAAAAAATCCACATTTATAAATGGGCCTTAAAAAATAATTTTTAAAAAATCCACGTTTATAAATGGACCTTAAAAAATATTTTTTTAAAAATCCACATTTATAAATGGACCTTAAAAAATATTTTTTAAAAAATCCACGTTTGATATAGGTTGTTAAAAATATTTTTTAAAAAATCCACGTTTGATATAGGTTGTTAAAAATATTTTTTAAAAAATCCACGTTTGATATAGATTGTTAAAAATATTTTTTAAAAAATCCACGTTAATAAATGGACCTTAAAAATATAATTTTAAAAATCCACGTTTATAAATTGACCTTAAACAACATTTTTTAAAAAATCCACGTTTATAAATGGACCTTAAAAAATATTTTTTAAAAAATCCACGGGTAAATAAATTTTTAAAAAATTTAATTTTTTGTTTATTATTTTTAAAAACAAAGCGCATTCCCCATATATTTGCCATATTAATTTTCAATTAATACGCTCTCTTTGTATGTTTTTAATTTATAGCACACTTTATGCCAGAAATTTAATGTATATACTCTCTTTAAATATTTGTCCCCCCACCCTCCTCTTTAAATAATTTGCCCCTTAAATATGCAAACATATCAATCAAATTAGATAGCAATTGTTTTTTTTTTTTTTTTTTTTTTTTTTGAACGAATTTCCTCTGAATTGTGTAAACATTCTTCCGCACATACGTATTTATCTCTCTTTTGAAGTACATTGTGTAAGTAAACAATTTGGGAAATATTTTTCGTTTAAATTATAAAAAAAAAACAAGTGCTTAAATTATAAAAAAAAACAAGGCCTTTCCAAGAAAACAATTTAAATTAAAATATTTACTGAAGCAGGATTTTTTCCAATGTTTTTAACAAAATTTTAACAACCGGGATGGTTGTGGATTTTTTAATTATACCCTACACCATGGAAGGATCTTATATCCTACACCATGAAAGGATCTTCATAGCATCATTTTCTAAGTCGATTTATTCATGTCTGTCGGTCCGTCCATTTATTCTTGTGAACAAAATGCAGGTCGCATTTATTATCCAATTGAGATGAAATTTTGCAAACAGTATTTTTTTGGCCCAAGGACGAACCCTATTGAAATTGGTGACAATCGGATCAGATTTGGACATAGGTCCTATATATATCTTCAACCGATTTCGGGTTAATTGTGTTCCAAATGGCCAATATGTGTCCAAATGATCTGAATTTTGGTACATCTGACCGAATTCAATCTAGAAGCAAGTACATCAAATTTGGAGAAAATCGGTTCAGATATAGCTATAGCTCCTATAGATATGTTTCATCCGATTTGGGCTTTTAAGTTCCTCACATGCGTAATATGCCCTCCACAAGAATGATATTTGGTGTCAGAAATCAGATGCAGCCCAGAAATGCCTCTGCCAAATTTTATCAAGATCGGTTCAGATTTGGATATAGCTCCCATATATATGTTTCATCCGATTTTGGGTTTAAAGTTCCCTACAAACGTAATATGCATTCGACAGCAATGATATTTTGTACCAGATATCAGATACAGCTCTGAAATTCGTGTATCAAATTTTATCGAGATCGGCAAAGATTTGGATATAGCTCCCATATTGATCCTTAATCCGATTTTAGGTTTACTGTGCAAATAACGGCTAATATCAGCCCCAAAGCGTGAATTTTCGGGATGTACGTTTCCATTTTGTGGAACTCGGCTCCGATATATATTGTTTTAATATAATCCTCCTCGAAGTGAAATCATGCACTCTATAGCATTGTTATTTGCTAGAAAAGATCAAAAAATGTCTTCGTCAAATTTAATAAAAATCGTTTCAGAATTGAAGATGCCTCTCATATATTAATTCCCTCCGAAACTGCTCTTAAGTCAAATGTTGATAGGTGATATGATCTACTTCAAAGAAAATTCTTTTGCTGCGGGAGCTCTACTAAATATGCCTAGTGATGTAGGGTATCATATAGTCAGCCCCGCCCGGCTTTTGACTTTTCCTTACTCGTTTTAATTTTTTATTATTTTTTTTTCTATTTTTATTTAATTTTTTTGTAAATTTTTTATTCGTTTTGAATTTCTATTTTTTGAATTATTTTTTTAATTTTTGTTTATTCTATTTTATAAATTTTATTAATTTTTTCAATTTTTTACGGGAGGTCTACTAAATATAGTTTTATTTTTTTTTTTCTATTTTTATTTTTGTTTTGTAATTTTTTATTCCATTTTAAGTTTTTTTAATTATTTTTTTATAAATTTAATTTTTTTAGTTTTTAATTAATTTTTTATTTTCATTTTTTTAAGTTTTTATTTTTTTCTAATTTTTTTTTAAGTTTTTATTTTTTTCTAATTTTTTTTTAATTTTGTTTTATTTTTTTAATTTTATTATTTTTTTCAATTTATTTATGGGAGCTCTACTAAATATGCATAGTGGTGTAGGGTATCATATAGTCGGCCCCGCCCGACTTTTGAGTTGTCCTTACTGGTTTTAATATATTTTATTATTTTTCATTTTTTTTAATTTTTATTTGGAATTTTTTTTAAGTTTTTTTAATTTTTATACTAATTTTTTTTAATTTGTATTTGTTGTTAAATTTTTATTTTTTTTAATTTTTTACGGGAGCTCTACTAAATATACATAGTGGTGTAGGGTATCATATAGTCGGCCCCGCCCGACTTTTGACCTTTCCTTACTGGTTTTTAATTTTTTTTCTATTTTTATTTAATTTTTAGTTTTTTTGTAATTTTTTATTCATTTTATTTTTATTTTTTTTTAATTTTTTTTAAATTTTTTAAAAATTTTTTTTTATTTTTTTTTTATTTTTGTTTTTTATTTTATTTTTCTAAATTTATTTACGTTAGCTGTACTAAATATACATAGTGGTGTAGGGTATCATATAGTCGGCCCGCCCGACTTTTGAGTTGTCCTTACTGGTTTTAATTTTTTTACTTTTTTTCATTTTTTCTGTTTTTATTTTTTTGTAGTTTTTTTTTATTCCATTTTAAGTTGTTTTAATTTTTATTTTTTTAATTATTTTTTTTATTTTATTTTTTTTTAATTTTTATTATTTTTTTAATTTTTATTTTTATTTATTTTTTTAATTTTTATTATTTTTTTTAATTCTTATTTTCTTTTAATTTTTTTTAATTTTTGTTTATTTTATTTTATTCATTTCTTCAATTTATTTACTAAATATGCATAATGGTGTAGGGTATCAATCATATAGTCGGCCCCGCCAGACTTTCCAGTTGTCCTTTCTGATTTTATTTTTTTTTTTACTATTTTTTATTTTTATTTTTTTGTAGATTTTTTTATTCCATTTTAAGTTGTTTTAATTTTTATTTTTTTTCTAACTTTTATTTTTTTTTTAATTTTAATTTTTTTAATTATTTTTTATTTTTATTTAATTATTTATTTTTTTAATTTTTATTTTATTTTATTTTTTTTTTAATTTTTATTTTATTTTAATTTTTATTTTTTTTATTAATTTTACTTTTTTTAATTTTTTTTATTTTATTAATTTTTTCAATTTATACACATAGTGATGTAGAGTATCATATAGTCGGCCCCGCCTAACTTTTGAGTTGTCCTTACTGGTTTAAATTTTTTATTATTTTTAAATTTTTTCTATTTACATTTTTTGTATTTTTTATTCCATCTTAAGTTTTTTTTTTTTTTTAATTTTTAATTACTTTTATTATTCTTTTTTTATTTTTTTAATTATTATTTTTTTATTTTTTTTTAATTTATATTATTATTATTTTAATTATTATTTTTTTAATTTTTATTTTTTTTAATTTTATTTTTTTTTAATTTTTATTTTTTTTTAATTTTATTTTTTTAATTTTTATTTTTTTTTTACTTTTTATTTATTTTTAATATTTATTTTTTTATATTAATTTTTTTTTTAAATTTTATTTTTTTCAATTTTTATTATTTTTATTTATTTCATAATTTTTCCAATTTATTAAATTTCTGTCCATTTTTTAATTTATTTATTATAATTTTGTTTCTCTAATTTCCCTTTTTAATCTCTCTCTCCCTCTCTCTGTCTCCTTCCAGGCCTATGAAAAACGTTTTCCCAAATGCCCCCAGATGCCCATAGTTTTGGACTGTGAAATTGTCAAAGATGAGATACTGGAAAATGGCGCCCAACGTAAAACCAGTCGTCGCTGTAAACTGGCCGTAGATGCCCCGTATATTTTTAAGAAACTGATCGGTGTCGAACATGTCTACTTCATACAACACAATTACCTCGATCTGGCCAATCGCACGCTCAACATCGAGGCCGTCAATGAAAGTTTTTCCTCACGTATTGAAATTTTTGAACGTTGCCGTTACTATGCCCATCCGGATAATCCCGATTGGACATGCTTCGATCAAACTGCCACATTGGATATTAAAAATTTCTTTGGTTTCGAACATTCCATGGAGAAAATGGGTATGAAGCAGTATACCCAGACGACACTCAAGGGCAAGGAGATTATAGAATATTTTATAAATGAATTGAAAGAGGAGGGTATAACGGAGGTGCCACGTTGGCAGCCGCCAGCCGATGCCCCCCTCTCGCCGAAGACAAGGGTAGAGGGTGAGGAGAATGGTGAAGGTGAAAATGCCACCGAGGTGACAAATGGTGTGAGTGGTGAGAAACGGCCGTCTTCACATGATATCCTGCTGGATGGAGATTTTATTGCCAAACATTTGGGTCAATTGACACCCATGCAGGAATCGAAGCTATTGGAGTTGCGTAAACTTTTGGACACACCGGGAGAGGAGGTGGAAAAAATGCCAGATTATCAGACGATATTGAGATTCTTGCGAGCCCGCGACTGGCATGTCAGCCAGGCCTTGGCAATGCTAAAAGATTCACTGAAATGGCGTAAAGAACAGGATATTGATAGCCTGCTAAAGGAATATAAAATGCCCACGGTGGTCTCTGATCATTTCCCCGGAGGTTGGCATCACAATGACAAAGATGGCCGGCCAATTTATATTTTACGTTTGGGCCACATGGATGTCAAGGGGCTGCTGAAGTCCATTGGCACCGAAGGGTTCCTCAAGTTGGTAAGGAAATCTGAAGACTTGCATTAAAAGAATTTTATTCAATTTTTCTCTTCTTCCAGGCTTTACACATTTGCGAGGAAGGCATACAAAAAATCAAAGAATCCGCTGAAAATCTTGGCAAGCCTGTATTGGATTGGTGTCTCCTGGTCGATTTGGAGGGTCTATCCATGCGTCATCTCTGGCGGCCCGGAGTCAAAGCTTTACTCAATATTATTGAAAATGTGGAGCGCAACTATCCCGAGACAATGGGTCGGGTTTTGGTGGTACGAGCACCCAGAGTATTTCCCATTGCCTGGACAATTGTTTCGGCTTTTATAGGTAAGGGCCTACGTCACAACTCATTTTCTATTGCCTTAATCGAAAATTTACCATTTTCAATTACAGATGAAAATACCCGCTCAAAATTCTTATTCTATGGCATTACCGATGATGAACACACCAAAGAAAGTTTGGAACAATATATCGATGCTGAAATTGTGCCCGACTTTTTGGGTGGTCCCTGTAAGGTGGGTATTCCGGCCGAGATTTTGTGTCCCACAACTGCTGTAAATAATGCAAATTTTCCTGTGTAAAATTATTTGAAATTAATTGAAATATTTTTTCTACTCCTCCCTCCTCCTCCTCCACTTTCTGAAAAATCAAAGCCATTGCTGGCTCCATTATCGTATGTGGATCAAATAACTCCTTACTATTTTACTCATTGTTATTTAGCTAATTGCGATTGTGTAAGGGCTAAATTATTTAAATACGTTTTATTAGAGTTTGTTTGCATTTTATGTCACACTTCATTGAGCATCTTTGTTTGTCCTCAAAATATGCAAAATTGTGTATGCATTTCGTCCTGTAATGTCTCCTATCACTTTGTGCGTCAATGTCCTTTTTGGGAAACACTAAAACTTATTTTAGAAATTCACTTAAAAAAAAAAAAAACAAGAGTCTTCCACAAATTATCCACAAAATGACAAAAATTTAAATCATCTTAAAAAGTCCTAAATTGAGGGTCTCAAATTTAATGCTTAGATTCGACGAGTCCAATCCCCCAAATGTTATTATTTATTGACCGAAAATAAAACATTCTTATTTCCGCTTTTAAAGCCCGATTAGAGTCCCAGTCCCAATTTAAGTCCCTCAGAGTTAAACTCCAAAATCTACATTTAATGCCAAATTGAAATTCGTTAAAATGCTATCTTAAAATGCCCTTGGAAATCTACGTTAAAAGTACGATTTGAGTTCCTCTAAATCCTCGTTTAAAAGTCGATTTGAATCGTTCAATAATCACTCTTAAAATCCTCATTTAAAGCCTGAACGGAGTGTTTCATAATCGTTATGTAAACCCATGATTAAAGCCACTCAAAATTTAATATTAAAATTCTAGTTTAAAATCCGACTTGAATACCATAAAATTCACTATTAAAAGCAGGCAAGAGCTTTCCACAAATTTTCCTCTTACTTGAGTGTCTCTAATTTAATTCTTAGATTCGACGAATTCAATTCCCCAAATTTTGTTTTTCATTGATCGAAAATAAAATATTCTTATTTTTGCTTTTAAAGCCCAATTAGAATTCCAGAAATTTTGTACATATAATTAACTTATAATTTGCAATTTAAATCCCTCAGAGTTCAATTTCAAAATCTGCGTTTAAATTCAAATTGAAATTCGTTAAAATCCCCTTTGGAAACGCGATTAGATGCACTATCAAATCTATGTTAAAAGCTCGACTTGAGTTCCTCTAAATCCTTGTTTAAAGGTTGATTTGAATCCTTCAAATTCATTCTTAAAATCCTCGTTTAAACCACAAGTCGAGTGTTTCAAAATCGTTATGTAAAAACATGATTAAAGCCAATATTAAAATTCTAGTTTAAAATCCGACTTGAATACCCTAAAATTCACTATTAAAAGCAGGCAAGAGCCTTCCACAAATTTTCCTTAAAACCGCAAAAACTGTTTTCTTTAAAACCGCGTTACAAGTCTTACTTGAGTGTCTCTAATTTAATTCTTAGATTCGACGAATTCAATCCCCCAAATTTTGTTATATATTGACCGAAAATAAAAGATTCTTATTTTCGCTTTTAAATCCCAATTAGAATTCCAGAAATTTTATTAAATTTTATCTAAGTTAAGAGCACGATTTGGGTTCCTCTAAATCCTAGTTTAAAGCACGATTTGAATCCTTCAAAAATCATTCTTAAAATCATCGTTTAAACCACAAGTTGAGTGTTTCAAAATTGTTATGTAAACCCATGATTAAAGCCACTCAAAATTCAATAATTAAATTCTAGTTCAAAATCCAACTTGAATATCATAAAATTCACTATTAAAAGCAGGCAAGAGCCTTCCACAAATTTTCCTTAAAACCACAAAAACAGGTTTCTTTAAAACCGCGTTACAAGTCTTACTTGAGTGTCTCTAAAATTTAATTCTTAGATTCGACGAATTTAATTCCCCAAATTTTGTTATTTATTGACCGAAAATAAAAGATTTTTATTTTCGCTTTTTAAGCCCAATTAGAATTCCAGAAATTTTGTACTTTTAATTAAATTATATACTACGATTTAAATCCCTCAAAGTTCGATTGCAAAATCTACGTTTACAGTCAAATTGAAATTCGTTAAAATTCTTTCTTAAAATTCCCTTTGGAAAGCCAATTAGATTCACTCTTAAATCTAAGTTAGAAGCACTATTTGAGTTCCTCTAAATCTTCCTTTAAAAGTCGATTTGAATTCTTCAAAAACTTTTCTTAAAATCCTCGTTTAAACCACAAGTTGAGTGTTGCAAAATTGTTATGTAAACCCATTATTCGAGCCACTCCAAATTCAATATTAAAATTCTAGTTTAAAATCCGACTTGAATACCATAAAATTCACTATTAAAAGCAGGCAAGAGCCTTCCACAAATGTCTCCTAAAACCACAAAAACTCTTTTCTTTAAAACCGCGTTGCAAGTCTTACTTGGGTGTCTCTAATTTAATTCTTAGATTCGACGAATTTAATTCCCCAAATTTTGTTTTTCATTGACCCAAAATAAAATATTTTTATTTCCGCTTTTAAAGCCCAATTAGAATTTCCGAAATTTTGTACTTTTAATTAAATTATATACTACGATTTAAATCCCTCAAAGTTCGATTGCAAAATCTACGTTTACAGTCAAATTGAAATTCTTTAAAATTCGATCTCAAAATCCCCTTTGGAAACCCGATTGGATTCACTCTCAAATCTAAGATAAGAGCACGATTTGAGTTTCTCTAAATCCTCATTTAATGCTCAATTTGAATTCTTCAAAAATCATTCTTAAAATTCTTGTTTAAACTCCAAATTGAGTATTCTGAAAATAGGTATTAAAACCCACGATTAAAGCCCAATTCGAGCCCCTCAAAATTCAATATTAAAATGCTCGTTTAAAATCTAATTTGAGTATCCTGAAATTCGTTAATCAAATTCACATTTCAAGTCAAATTTGAGTCCGCTAAAATCCCTTAATCAAATACTGATTTAAACCTAAATTGAGACCCTCAAAATTCGCTTTTCAAATTCAATGTTTAATGCCTGATTCGTGTGCCTCAAAATTCGTTTGGTGTCCCCCAGAAATGTTTTTCAAAATCTGCTTTGAAAAGACCGATTGGAGTAACTGAAACTCCTTTGAAAAAAACCATACCATTTACATTCCTCAAAATCGCACTTATAAACTACAATAACTAAGTCCGCTAAAATGTGTTAATCGAATACTCATTTAAATCTGACTTGAGAGCCTCCGAATTCATTTTTCAAATTCATTTTTTAAACCCAATTAGTGGCCCTCAAAATTCTTTCCTAAAGTCTACGCTTAGAACCGTTTAAAGTTCCTCAGAAATCCTTCTCAAAATCTACTTTGAAGATCGATTTCAGTAACTCAAATTCTTGAATTGAAAGGTCAATATACATTCCTCAAAATTACTCTTAAAAAAAATTACAATAACTGAGTCCGCTAAAATGTGTTTATCAAATACTCATTTAAAACTGATTTGAGACCCTCCAAATTCCTTTTTAAAATTCATTTTAAAGCCCGATTAGTGTCACCCAAAATTCGTTCCTTAAGTCCACCCTTAGAACCGTTTAAAGTTCCTCAGAAATCCTTGTCAAAATCTAATTTGAAGACCGATTGGAATAACTCAAATTCTTTCTAAAAATCCACATTGAAAGATCCATTTACATTCTGGAAAATCGTTCTTAAAAACGGAAATAAAAGCCTGATTTAAGCTACAGAAAGCTCGATTTGAGCCCCTATAAATTCGGTGTTAAAATTCAATTTGAAAGGTCGATTACGTTTCTATTTTTCTTTTTTTTTAAGTAGCTTAAAAGTTCCTGTTAAAATTTACGTCTTAATCCTGATTTGAGAACCTCGAAAATCGTCTAATTTACATTTATTTTATCCGAACAGAGCTCATCAAAAATCTTTCTTAAGATTCATGTTTGATAACCGAAATTCATACTTAATGATGTTTGAAGTTCGATTCGAATTCCTAGAAAATAGTTCCGAAATCTACGTTTAAAACCCGATTTGAGTCCCTTGAAATTCGTTCATGAAATTCACGTTTTAAGCCTTATATGAGTTCCTCGAAATTCGATTTTAAATTAATGTTTAAAGCTCAACAAATCGACGTTTAAGGTCAATTTAAAATCCGACAAGAGTACCTTAATATTTCTTCCTAAAATCTAGGTTTCAAGCCTGATCAAGTTTGACACCCGGTTCTAATCACTCAAAATTCATACTTAATGATTTTTAAAGTTTCATTTGAATTCCCCCAAAATTCGCGCTGAAATCTACATTTAAATCCCGATTTGAGTTCCTTGAAATTCGTTCTTAAAATCCACGTCCTAAGCCTTATATAAGTTCCCCGAAATTCGATCTTAAAATCCATATTTAAAGCTCGAAAAAGGTAAATTTAAGTCCCGACAAGAGTACATTAAAAAATCTTCTTAAAATCTACGTCTGAAGCCTGTTTGAAACCCTAGAAAATCGTTATTAAGTTTCACCTTTAAAATCCGAAAAGGGCTCAACAAAACTCTTCCTTAAAATTCAAATTATATTATTAGTAATGTTGTAAGTTCGATTTGAATATCTAGAAAATAGCTCTGAAATCTACGTTTTAATCCCGATTTGAGTCCCTCAAAATTCGTTTTTAAAATCCATGTTCTAAGCCCTATATGAGTCCCTCGATCTTATAATTTAGGTTTAGAGCTCGAAAATTCGACTTTTAAGGTAAATATACATTCTGACAAGAGTTCCTTGAAAGGTGGTGCTAAAATCTACGTTTGAAGTCTGATTTGAGGCCCACGATAATCTTTATTAAAATGCACCTATAAAATCCGAACCGAGGTTATAAAAAATCCTTCTTAAAATTCACGTTTGACACCCGATTTAAATCACTCAAAATTCATACTCATTGATGTTTAAAATTCCATTTGAATTCCTAGAAAATAACTCAAAAATCTATGTTTAAATCCCGATTTGATTCCTTTGAATTCATTCTTAAAATTCACGCCCATAGCCCCATATGAGTTCTTCGAAATTCGATCTTAAAATCAATGTTTTAAACAAAAAAGGTTCCTCAAAGGTCATACTTAAAATCGAGGTAGATTTAAACCTATTTAAATTCTTCTTCTTCTTAGAATCCATGAATACATCTCGAAGAGGGTTCCTCAAGGGTAATACTTAAAATCGAAGTTTGAGGTAGATTTAAATATCTTAAAATTCGTTCTTAAGATCCATGGTTGATACCCGATTTTAAGTTCTCAAAATGCATTTATAAACTCCACATTAAAACCCCTTTTTGAGTATCTCTAGATTTGAAATTAAAATCAAAATTTGAGCCCAATGTGAGTAACACGAAGTTCGTCCTTTAAAACCGTTTTCATAGGTCGATTAAATACCAAAAAATGAGGTCCTTAAATCCATGTTAAATACCTTAAAAATCTATCTAAAAATTCACTTTAAATTCCGACTTGACTTAAATCGACGTTTAATTGATTGAATCGATTTCAATCCTTTAAAAGTTAATTTCATAAATCCCCAAAATATCATATTTAAATTCCGATTTGAATACCTTAAAATTTAATCTTAAAATCCACTTTAAAAGCCCGAGATTAGTCTCTCAAAACTCGTTCTTCAAATCCACTTAAGATCCTGAAACAAAAGAGTTTTTTAAAATCCAAAATTATTTTTTAAAATCTGCCGAAATTCTGTTTAAAAAATCGATATTGGCCTGCCAAATTTCTGTTTGAAAAATCTGATTTTAAAGGCCAAGGTTAGTCTTCGGAAATTTTGTTTAAATATCCATGGTTAAAGGCCCATATAGATTTGCAAAAATTAAGAATACAGAATTCTGTTTAAATTCCACGTCTTTAAGCCGCAAAATTCTGTTTCAAAATCCGGATTTAAGCCACATTTGATAGCTTCAAATTTCCATTTAAGGATTTCAATTATTGGCCGATAGGAGGAGTCTTTCAAAATTCTTGTTAAAATCAAACGGGAATAATGGGATGATATGAGATCTCCAAATTTCTTTTGAAATCTAACGGTTAAAGAACAATATGTGCCTTGCAGAAATCTGGTTTAAAATGAAAGATTTAAGGCTGAGATAAGACTTTTAAAATTCTGTCCTAAGACCAACAAAAAATATCTAAGATCAGATATCTAATTTTTATAATTCTTTTAAAATCGTCAGTTAAAGGGTTATACGGATCTGCTAAAATTCTGTCAACAAATCTACGTTTAAAAACTGATATGAACTACTCAAAATTCTATGGTTAAAGGTCGATGGGAGCCTATCAAAATTCTGTTTTAAAACACACATGTAAGGGCCGATTGGAGATCTCCAAAATTCCGTTTATAAATCCACGTTTGAGTGTTGAAAAAATTATCTTCCAAAATTATGTTTAAAAATCTTCAATGGAGTACCCAGGCGAGTTTCTCAAAATTATTTTCAAAAATTTATTTATTTTCAAAATTAAGTGTTGACATAAGATCTTCAAAATTCTGTTTAAAAATCCACGTTTGATTCTTGACATTAATCTTCCAAAATTATGATTAAGAATCTACGATTGAAAATCAATATGGGTCCCTTCAAGTCATGCACTTTTATATGACTTGAATTTACAATTAGCTGTCCTTCGTAAAATGTCCTGTTATCTTTGTCTTCTTCGTCCACTACCATTACCTAAATCTTCTCAAGTAGTCAAAACCTCCACCTTTGTCATTCCATCCGTCCATCACAAAAAAAAAAGGAATGAAACCATTCTTAACCAGTAACAGCTTCAAGCTAAAGTTCTTTTAAGCTCTTTGCCGAAGCTTAAAAATATTTACTCAAACATATTTTTAATAATCTTTTTTTAATTTTCTCTCTTTTCCTGCTGTAGACCCTCATCCATGAAGGTAGTCTCGTGCCAAAGAATCTCTATAAAATGAATTCCCTGGAAGAGGGTGATGATGAAGCCCTCGATAATCACCATGAGAGCAGCCAGAACTCAGCTGCAGCAACAGCTTCCGCCACCGCCACCGCCGCCGCCGCCGCTGGTGGAAGTTTAGCTCAACAGAATCTCCATCATAATGTCTACAAGACTGTTGAACTACGTACCGGCTATTCACATGAAGTCATCATTCGAAATTCAGATCCAAAATCAGTTTTAACCTGGGATTTTGATGTTCTGCGCAGTGATTTGCATTTTACACTGTTCCGCGTTACCAAAGAGCTGCCCGAGAAACATGGTAGGAAATATTTAATTGGTATTAATTTTTAATTTATTTTTATTGTTTTATTTCTTTCTTTCAGATTTGGCTGTTTCATTTTTCGATATGAGCGATTTCACCGAAGGTGTTAATTATTTCAAAGAAGAACCAACACTGGTGTGTCACAACAAGGAGAGTGTGCAGGTAGGCACAGCATGACAGCATTGCGACCTGAATTTTTATAGCAAATTTTGACGATCCTTAAGAGCCCTCTAAACAGGATTTTAGAAACGAATATTTACAGCTTTCCAAAGAGAATTCTTAAAATAATTTTAAAGGACCCCTAGCAGCCTTCTAAAGAAGATTTTTGAAAATTTGATTTTTAGAGGACCTTCAACAGCCTTTTAAAAAGGAATTTTAGGGAGGGGACCCTTAACAGAAGACTTTTTGAAATGATTTTTTTAGGCCCCTCAACTGCCTTTTAGGGAAATTTTGAATGAATTAGAATTAGAATTAGAGGACCCATAACATCCTATCAGAAAGCACTTTTTAAAGAAACTTTGTGGACCCTTAACAGCTTTCAATAGAGGATTTCTAAAACGATTTTTTTTTGTAATTTGAGAATTTGGAAAAAAAATTTAGGACTCTTAACAGCTTTTTGTAGAGGATTTTTTTAAAAGAATTTTTAAGATTTTAAATAACCTTCTAAAGTAGATTTTTGAAAAGAATTTAGGAGCTCTCCTAACAGCTTTTTAAAAGGACCCTTTTAATAAGACTTTCAGGCCGCCTTCTAACGAGTATATTTGAAAAGAATTTGGAGGACCCTTGACAACCTTTTAAGGAGGACTTTTTGAAAAGAATTTTTGGGGACCCTGAACGGCCTTTCAAAGATAAATTTTGAACGAATTTCAAGAGACCCATAACATACTTTCAGAGAGGGCTTTTGAAAAGAAATTTTTTGGACCCTAAACAGCTTTCAAAAGAGGATTTTTAAAAAGATTTTGGGAGTAATTTTACAGGCTTCTAAAGGGGAATTGGGAAAAGAATTTAGGCCTCCTAACAGCTTTTTAAAGAGAATTTTTGAAAATAATTCTTTATAGCCTTCTAAAGTAAAGTACTGAAAAGAATTTAGGAGCTCTCCTAACAGCTTTTCAAAGAAGACTTTTGAAAAGCCTTTCATCCCGCCTTCTAGCAGCGAGTATGTTTGAAAAGAATTTGTAGGACCCTTGACAAACTTTTAAGGAGGATTTTTGGAAAAAAATATTAAGGACCCTAAACTGCCTTTCAAATAGAAATTTTGAACGAATTTCATAGGACCTATAACATCCTTCCAGAGAGGACTTTTGAAGAGAATTTTGGTGGATCCTTAACAGCTTTCAATAGAGGATTTTAAAATGATTTTTGGAGTACTTTTACATCCTTCTAAAGGGGAGTTTAGAAAATAAGTTAAATCAGCTTTTCAAAGAGGATTTTTTAAAATAAATTTTAAGAGTCTTAAAAGCCTTCTTAAATAGACATTAGGAGACCTCCTTACAGCTTTTCAAGGGGGACTTTTGAAAAGTCATTCGGGCCGCCTTCTATCAAGTATTTTTGAAAATAATTTTGAGGACTCTTGACAAGAATTCTTTTTAGTAATTTGTAGGAACCTTGACATGATTTTTTTTTGAAAAGAATTTTTAGGTCCTTTAAACCCTTAAAAAGACGAGGAAGGATCATTAACTATATTCTAAAAATATTTTAAAGACAGAATTTGGAGGTTCCTTAAATTCCTGTCAAAAAGGGAAGGATGACCTTTAACAGTTTTCCAGTGATGATTTTTGAAAAGAATTTTGGATATCTTTTAAATCCTCTGAAGAAGATTTTCGACCATTTTAAAGATTCCTTAACACGTTTCTAAAGTGGGAATTTAAATAGAAATTTTTAGGTCCCTTAAAGCCTTTCAAAGAGGGTTTATTGAAAGAAATTTGCAGAATTTCTAAGTCTCCTCAATAGCTTTCTTAAGTGGATTTTTTGAAGGAATTCTTAAGCCTTCTTATGAGGCATTTAGAAGTTTTGAGGGCCCTTTGCACCATTTCAAAGAGGTTTTTTGAAAAGATTAATGGATGTCCCATTTGAGCCGTCAAAACAGGATTTTGAAAAGATTTTAGAAGCCTAGCCCTAGTTACCTTTTAATAAGCATTGTTGAAAAGGATTTTGAAGGACCCTCAATAGCCTCCAAAGCGAGATTTTTAAAAGTTTTTTAAAGATCCTTTAAAATCCTTCTAAAGATAATTCTAGAAAAGAATTTCGGAGTTCCCTCACAGTCATCTAAAGAGGATTTTAAAGGCTCCTTACCAGCCTTCCAAAGAGAAGTTTAAAAAGAAATGTGAAGGACTCCTTACAGACTTTCGAAGAGGAATTTTGTAAAGAGCTTTGCAGGACCCATAACTGCCAAAAAAAGGGTTTTTAAAAATATTTTGGGGGAACTTTTTTAAGAGAATTTTGTATTCCCCTAACAGCATTTAAATAATAATTTTTGAAAATAATTTCGTAGGTCTCTTAACTCCTTTCCAAAGAAGGTTTTTAAAGTTAATTTTTAAGCTTCCATTACTCGATTCTAAAGTGAAAAGAGGATTTTCGAAAAGAAATTTTGAGGTCCCTTAAAGTCTTTCACATATAATGTTTTTAAAGAAATTTGCAGGACGCCTTCTAAAGAGGATTTTTGAAAAAATGTGGACGTTTTTTAACTTTTTTTCAAACAGGATTTTTGAAAAGAATTTTTAAGACCCTCAACAGCCTTCCAAGGGGAAGTTTAGAAAAGAATGTAGGGGACCTCTAAACGATTTTCCAAACAGCATATTGTGAATATTTGGAGGACCATTTTATGCAGGATTTTTAAAGAGTATTTTGAAGGGCTCATAACAACCTCCTTAAGAGGAAGAATAAATTATAAAAGAATTTTTGAAGTTCCCTTAAAGACATTAAAAAAATGGAGGACCCTCAACAGTCTTCCAATAACGATTTTTGAAACAATTTTGGGTGTCCCTTAACTCTTTTCGAAAGAAGACTTTTGAAAATAATTTTTTAGGTTCCTTAACACGTTTCCAATGTGGGGATTTAAAAAGAAATTTTGAGATCCCTTTAACTCTCTTAAAAAGGATTTGATGAAAGAAATTTTCAGGACTCTAAAGAAGATTTTTGAAAAGAATTTAGGGGGGTATTTTAAATATCTTCCAAATAGGATATTTGAAAAGAAATTCTAAGACACTTTACAGCTTTCTAAAGACGTATTTTAAAGAGGATCTAGTGAAACTCTTAACGGCTTTCCAAACAGGACTTCTTAAAAGATTTTTGAAAAATCCTTTTTTAAGGAGGATTTTTGAAGAGTATTTTGGAGGGCCCATAACAACCTTTTAAGACGGGTTTAAAAAGGAATTTGAAGATCCCTTTACGGTCTTTCATAGAGGAATTTTAAACTGAACTTAGAGCTGCCTTTCACCGTCTCTCACCATAAGGCCTTCTAAGGAAGATTTCTGAATCTGAGTTTTGGAAGATTTTTGAAAAGGTTTTTGGGAATTCCTAACAATCTTCCAAAGAAGATTTTTGAAATGAAATGAATTTGGAGAAGGAGAAATTTGGAGGAACAGTTTTCTAAACAGGATTTTTGAAAAGAATTTGGGGGTATCTTAACTGTTTCCGAAAGAGTATTTTTGAAACTAATTTAAAGGCCCTCAACAGCCTTTTAAAAGAACGTTTTAACGGCTTTCCAAACAGGGCTTTTTAAAAGAATTTTAAAAAATTGACAGTCTTTTGAGGAGGACTATTGAAGCGAATTTTAGAGGGCCCATAACAGCCTTCTTTTAGGTGTTTTATAGAATTTTGGAGGTCCACTTACATCTATTCGTATAGGAATTTTAAAAAGGAGGCTTTGCCCCTCTCTCCCCTTGGAATTTTAAGGCTTTCTAACGAAGATTTTTGAAAAAAATTTTGGACATCTCTTAACACCTTTTCAAAGAAGATTTTTGAAAATAGTTTTTGAGGTCCCTCTACACGTTTCTAAAGTGAAAAGATCAGTTTGGAGAATCCAAAACAGTCTTCTACAGAGGAATTTTGAAAAGGATTTGGGGTTTTCTTAACTGTTTCCCAAAAAGGATTTTTGAAAAGAATTTTTACGACCCTCAACAGCCTTCTAAGGGGAGTTTTGAAAAGAGTTTAGGAGGCTTCTTAACGGCACGACCTTTCAAATGAATTTAAACATTTTTTTGGATATTTGACAACCTTTTAGGAAGTTTTTGGAGGATCCATAGGAGGCGTTTTGAAAAAGGGTTTACAGACTTTCATAAAAGAATTTTAAACAGAACTTAGCTAAGACTTTGACTGTCTCCTTCTTTGGATTTTTACGGCCTTCTAACGAAGATTTTTGAAAAGAATTTTGGAAGTTTTTTGAAAATAATTTTTCACGTCCATTCACACGTTTCCAAAGTGAAAAGAGAAATTTGGAGGACCTTAACTGTTTCCCAAAGGAGATTTTTGAAAATAATTTGGAGATTTTTTAACTGTTTTCCAAAGAGGATTTTTGAAAAGAATTTTTAAGACCACAACAAAGCTCTTCAACACCCTTCTAAAGGGGAGTTTAGAAAAGAACCTTGAAGGTTTTAACGGCTTTCCAAACAGGACTTCTTAACCGCTTTTAAGGAGTGTTTTGGAGAGTATTTTGAAGGACCCATAACAGCCTTCTTAAGAGGTTGTTTAAGAAGTATTTTGGAGATCTTTTACAGCCTTTCAAAGAGGAATTTTAAACTGAACTTAGAGCAGTCTTTCACCTTGGATTTGTACTGACTTCTCACGACTATCTTAAGTGTTTCCCGAATAGGATTTTCGAAAGGAATTTTTAAGATCTTCAAAAGCCTTCTAAAGGGGAGTTTAGAAAATAATCTGTTAGGCCAACAGGACAATAATTTTTTTTGGAAATTTGGAGGATCATATTTAAGGAGGTGTTTGGAGGACCCTAAGAGCCTTCTTAAGATTAGTTTTGAAAAGTATTTCGGAGGTCCCTTTACAGCCTTTCAAAGAGGAATTTTAAACTGAATTTTAAACTGAACTGAGCAGTCTTTCACCCTTTTTCACCTTGGATTTGTACGGGCTTCTCACGACTATCTTAAGTGTTTCCCGAATAGGATTTTCGAAAGGAATTTTTAAGATCTTCAAAAGCTTTCTAAAGGGGAGTTTAGAAAATAATCTGTTAGGCCAACAGGACAATAATTTTTTTTGGAAATTTGGAGGATCATATTTAAGGAGGTGTTTGGAGGACCCTAAGAGCCTTCTTAAGATTAGTTTTGAAAAGTATTTTGGAGGTCACTTTACTGACTTTAATAGAGGAATTTTTAACAGAAATTAGAGGGGCCTTTGACCGTCTCGCACCTTGGATTGAGGCTTATCACGACTATCTTAAGTGTTTCCCAAAGAGGATTTTCGAAAAGAATTTTTAAGATCTTCAAAAGCCTTCTAAAGGGGAGTTTAGAAAATAATCTGTTAGGCCAACAGGACAACAATTTTTTTTGGAAATTTGGAGGATCCTTAACACCCTTTTAAGGAGGTATTTGGAGGACCCTAAGAGCCTTCTTAAGATTAGTTTAGAAAAGTATTTTGGAGGTCTCTTTAAAGCCTTTCAAAGAAGAATTTTTAACAGAAATTAGGGGAGCCTTTGACCGTCTCCCACCTTGGATTTTGAGACAGACTTTTGAGTACTTGAATTAAAAAAAACATGAATTTTAAAAAGAATGCTAGAGTAAACCCCTCTATACCTTTATTTTCGAAAAGAATTGTAGAGCCTCCTTAACACCCTTAAAATCAAGATTTTTTAAAGGAATTTTGGGAGACTTCTTATCTTAAAACCTCGAATTTTAAAAGGAAGTTGCGGGCGACTTTAGAATCCTTCAAATCTCGAATTTTAAACAAATTTCAGAGGACTCTTTGATACCTTTCAAACCTGATTTTTTTACAAAGAATTGCGGTGTATTTAACTGCCTACAAACATGGATTTAAAAAAAATAAGTTTCGGGAGACTAGAACCTGAAATTTTACATAAATCTTAGAGAACCCTATAACACCCTTAAAAGGTAGATATTTAAACGAATTTCGGTAGACTCTTTGACAACCTTTTAAACCTAGATTAAAAAAAAGAAGTTTCGGGCAAATTTAAACCTCTCCAAACCTGGAATTTTAAACAAATTTTTCGATGACTCTATAACACCCATAAAACGTGGATATTTAAACGAATTTTGGAAGACTCTTTAAAATTCTTTAAACCTGGATATTTGAAAAGAATTTCGGTGGACTCTTTACATCTTCCAAATCTGTATTTTTAAAAATAATCCTGAGGGACTTTTGACCGGCTATCAGCGTAGATTTTTATACCCTCAAAAATATGGCAAAGAGGGTATATATCAATTGATAGGTCAAAACGTGCCTTATCGAAATAACCGTTTTAGACCCTCAGTCTCTTTGAACCAAATCCGTCTCAGGACATTTGGAGTCGAAGCGCATAAAACGTGAATTTAACATCCGATTCCATTCAGACTTGATACATCTCAATATTTCTATCAACACAACATCTGTTATAAAGATGATAGCGATTGGACCACTTCCTCTGGTACCTCCCCCACAAAGGGTCAAAATTTTGAATAACCAAAACGATTATAAAATCGGAAATAAACATTCCATTCTCTTCATATTTCATACATCCCATTATTTCCGCTAACACAAGATCTGCTGTGAAGATGGGATATATCGGTCCACTCCTTCTGACCCCCACAAAGGGTCAAAATGTTGCATAACCATGAAGCTCGTAAAACGTGAAATTAACATCAAATTCCGTTCAGATTTGACACATCTCAATATTTCCATTAACACAAGATCTGTTTTAAAGATGGTAGAGATCGGACCAGTTCTTCTGGAATTTTTAAAATGATTTTGAGGGCATTTTAGCTGCCTTCCAATGTGAATTTTTGGAAAGGATTTTCAGTTATTTTTTTGCAGCCTTCCATGTGATTTCTTCAAAATGGACTTCGACCGCCTTTAATTACATATTTTTTAAATAAATAATTTTTAAATAAATACATGTCATTTTTTGCTTTCTTCCAGGGCTCCCATGTCATGAATCACAAGGACAATTACGTTATGCACTGGTTTAGCCCCAGCTGTGGTGCCGAGGGACCAGCTCAACTCAATTACTTTTACGAGGTCTTAAGTTCCGCCAACTACAAGGGATCGATGACAAGTTTACAATCGGCCTTCTCCTCGAATTCAGCATCCAGTTCATGCCAGAGTCGATGATATGAGGCTAATGGCAGCAATGACAATGCTAACAATGGTGAAATTGGCCAACATCTCACCACGGGGACGTTAATGGAGAAAAGTCTGGACTAAAGAGAACGAGAGCGAGAGAGAGAGAGAGGGAAACCATAATTTTTAACGAAATAATTTTACACAAAATGCGAGTTTTTAAATGTTGTGTATAATGTTGAAACTAATGTTAAGTTAATTTAAAAAAAAAAAAATGATATAAACAAAATTATAGAAAAATTATTTAATGGTATCCGACAAATATTTGAATATACATACATATATAATGTTATATATGGCCTAAAGAAAAAAATTTTACCGTATACCATACAACATTTTAGACAAATCTTTTTTTTTAATTTTAAATATTTTTTTATTTACTGTAATTTTCCTTAATTTAAATAAATTGTATTTTTAAGTTACGCTTAAAAAAATATATTTTCAAAACACCAACAATTGTTGTTGTTACCAAAAAAAGATCTACATTGAAATTTTGCCACTTTGAACGCCTGAAACATTCGCACAGAAATCTTGGGAAAATTTTCAAATTAAGGGGCATTTAGGAAATCACTCTAGCTTTCGAACGAAATGAAGTAGGTTGATAAAAATTTATTCAATTGTATATTATGTCTGCAGGACTTTTGATATTGAAAATGAGCCAAATAGGTCCGCGTTTTGGTATAGCCCTCATATAACAATACCTCCCGATATTCGGTATTTTGATGATTTTAGCTACATTATTTACAGGAATTGTTTCAAATTTGGTATTTGAAGTTCGTAATGGATACTACAACCTGTGACAGAAAATTGTCTGTACAAGTCCACGTCTTCGTATAGTCCCCATATAACGGTACCTTCCGAAATTCGATTTTTTGATGATTTTAACGACATTATTCACCGGAATTGTTTCAAATTTGGAACTTGAAGTTCGTAATGGATACTACAGCCTATGACAGAAAATTGTCTGTGCAAGTCCACGTCTTCGTACAGCCCACATATAATGGTATCTCCCTATATTCGGTATTTTGATGATTTTAGCGACATTATTCATCGGAATTTATTCAAAATTGGTATTTGAAGTTCGTAATGGATACTACAGCCTATGGCAGAAAATTATCTGTGCAGGCTCAAGTCTTCGTTTAGCCCCCATATAACGGTACCTCCCAATATTCGGTATTTTGATGATTTTACCGACATTATTCATCGGAATTGTTTGAAATTTGGTATTTGAAATTCCTAATAGGTACTACAGCCTATAACAGAAAATTGTCTGTGCAGGTGCACGTCTTCGTATAGCCCCCATATAACGATACCTCCCGATATTCGGTATTTTGATGATTTTAGCTACATTATTTACCCGGATTTATTCAAATTTGGTATTTGAAGTTCGTAATAGATACTAAAGCCTATGACAGAAAATTGTTTGTGCAAGTTCACGTCTTCCTATAGGCCCCATATAATTGTACCTCCCGATATTCGGTATTTTGATGATTTTAGCTACATTATTTACCGGAATTGTTTCAAATTTGGTGTTTGAAGTTCGTAATGGATACTACATCCCATGACAGAAAATTGTCTGTGCAGGTCCACGTCTTCGTATAGCCCACATATAATGGTATGGCCCTATATTCGGTATTTTGATGATTTTAGCGACATAATTCGCCGGAATTGTTTCAAATTTGGTATTTAAAGTTGGTAATGGATCCTACAGCTTGTGACAGAAAATTATCTGTGCAGGTCTACGTCTTCGTATAGCCCCCATATAACAGTACCTTCCGATATTCGGTATTTTAATGATTTTAGCGACATAATTCACCGGAAATGTTTCAAATTTGGTATTTGAAGTTCGTAATGGATCCTACAGCCTGTGGCAGAAAATTGTCTGTGTAGGTCCACGTCTTCGTATAGCCCATATATAATGGTATCTCTCTATATTCGGTATTTTGATGATTTTAGCGACATTATTCGCCGGAATTATTTCAAATTTGGTATTTAAAGTTGGTAATGGATCCTACAGCCTATGGCAGAAAATTATCTGTGCAGGCTCAAGTCTTCGTATAGCCCCTATATAACGGTACCTTCCGATATTCGGTATTTTGATAATTTAGCTACATCTTTCCCCGGAATTGTTTCAAATTTGGTATTTGAAGTTCGTAATGGATACTACATCCCATTTTATTTTTTTTTTTGAAAATTTGCCAAAGTTGTTCCAAATGGTATTCAAATTCGGCACGGCCGAATTTACAGCTTTTTATTTGTTTTTTTTTTTTTTGTTTTATTATTTTTTTTAATTTTTTATTTTTTATTTTGTTGTTTTTTTATTTTTTACTTGTTTTTTTGTTTTATTATTTTTTTTTAATTTTTTATTGTTTTTTTATTTTGTTGTTTTTTTTATTTTTTACTTGTTTTTTTTTTTTGTTTATTATTTTGTTGTTTTTTTTATTTTTTACTTGTTTTTTTTTTTTTTTTGTTTTATTTTTTTTTAATTTTTTATTATTTTTTTATTTTGTTTTTTTTTTTTTTTATTTTTTTTTTTTTTTTTTTTTTTTTTTTTTTTTGAAATAGTGTCAAATTTTTTGAATGGTGTTACTTATTCCCAAATTCTGGAAACAAATCCATGTTTAACAAGTTTTAATAGTCCCCAAAAATTCTGTAAAAAACTCCAAGTTAAGGTTCAATAGACTTCCCAAAATATCTTGGGAAAAATTTTCGTTTAATATCCCCCTGTTAATTTATTGGGAAAATCCAGCTTCAAGGGTTGATCTTTGGAAAATAGACTTTAGAGCAGCAAAGAGTAACCAAAAATATTTTGAAAAACGTCACGTTTTAAGGCTTTTAAGGGACCATCTGAAAATTTCGAAAATTCTTGCTTAAAGAGTTTTAAATGTCCCTTTAATTTCTTTGGAATTATACATTTTTAGTCCATGTTAAGAGTTCTCAAGATTTTTTTTATTTATTTTAGAATCTATTTTTTTAATTAATTCTAGGGAAATTATTTTTTATTCATTTTATTTCATATTTTTTTATTTTTCTAAATACATTTATGTGTATAATAACATAATGCTATAATATTGAAAAAAATATATAAGGTTGTAGACAAAAATAAAATTAAAAAAAAAACAAAAATAAAGCATGCATTTCTCAATGAATTCGAAATGCAAAGGAAAGCATTCCGTCTTCATTGAACTTGCATCTGAATTCAAAATAGATAATATTTTTTAAAAAAATAGTAGGGTTAAGGTCAATTATTTAGACATAAAATATCGGATAAAATCAAACGCTTTTAAAGAAATAACAACAACAACCACAAATAACGCCCAATATATTTAGAAATATGAAATATATAAAATAAAAAAATTAAAAATATATATTAAATAATAATATATATAAAAAAAATAAAAATAAAACTCAATTTTTTGCTTGCAAATTTTATAATTTTTTAATGCTTTTTATATGAGTCGATAAAACGAAAGAGAAATAAGATATAAAAATAAACAACAAACATTGTAAAAAAATAATATTAAAAACAATTTCCAATTAATTATAAAATTACTCTAACCCACTAAAGAATTTAACAAAAATCCCAAATTAGTTAAAATCATTTTTTAAGTTTTATTCTAACTAAAAAAAATCAACTGTTAATGTGCATGGTCACCCAAGTGATTGGCAAATCTAAGACAATGGTCATTGGATTGCCAACCATATAAAACACATCACATATTTACGTTGCCATTCACAGTACAATTTCAGTTGGCCACTCCTTGGCCAAATTATGTTGGCAAATCCAAAAATAATCGCTAATGTTATTTAAAATTTCATACTATCTAAATATATCTTATAAAAAATATAAAATTATATTACAATACATACATATATACATATACGAATACGAACACATACAAATATACAAGAATATCCCCCCAAAATTGTAGCGAAATGAAGAGCCAGAGAGAAATACTTTGGAAGAGAACAAACGAAAAAAAAAAACACCTACCTGTTTATGAGATTTTTAATTCAATGTTTCATGTTAATTAAGTGCATAAGAAAGAAAATAAAATAAATGAGAACAAACAATTCCACAAAGAAATACGTGATTGGTTTTATTTGAGGGAATAAAAAATCCGCTAAATTCTATGAAAAAAGTTCACATTGAAGAAGTCCCAAAAATTCTTCGAAAAAATATAATTGTAAAAAAATCTCCAGCAGCAATTTAAAAAAAAAATTCCCGTGAAATCCTCGTATGAGCTATTTTATGAATCTGCTAAAAAAACTTGAATAAGTTACTTTTTTGTGAGCTGACCCAAATATTTTTTAAAAAATAAACTTTTAAAATCTGTTATGGGCCCCCAAAAAGTCCGTGGTTAAGGGAAGTAGAGCATTTAGAGGTTACGAAATGAGTTGTCAAGTAACGTTATTCTTTGAAAATGTTTTTATGAAATAAAGATGCTGAGGGGGGAAAATTGAATGAAGTGGATAAAGATTTTATGTCATTTAAATGGCGTGGATAAAGGTTTAATGACATCTGGATAACGTGGATAAAGATTTTATTACATATTAATCAAGTGGGTGGAGATTTTATGACAAATGGATAACGTGGATAAAGATTATGCGGCATCTAGATAACAGAAATAACGATTTTATGACATCGGAATGGCATGGATAAAGATTTTATGACATCTGGATAACGTGGATAAAAATTTGTTCACATATTCATGACGTGGGTAAAGTCTTGGTGACATATGAATGTTGCGGATAAAGAAGTTATGACATCTGAAAAGCATGGATAAAGATTTTATGACAACTTGATAGTGTGGATAAAAATTTGGTGACATATTTATGACGTAGATAAAGACTTGGTGACATATGAATAATGCGGATAAATAAATTATAAAATTTGGATAACATGAATAGGTTTCTTGGCATCTGGATAACGTGGATAAAGATTATACGACATCTGGATAAGGTAAATAATGATTTTATGACATCGGAAGAGCATGGATAAAGATTTTGTGACAACTGGATAACGTGGATAAACATTTGGTCACATATTCATGACATGGATAAAGTATTGGTGACATATGAAAGTTGCGGATAAAGAAGTTATGATATTTGGATAACGTGGATAGGGTTCATGACATCTGGATAACGATTATACGACATCTGGATAACTCAAATAACGATTTTATGACATCAGAATAGAATGAATAACGATTTTATTACTTCTGGATAATGTGGATAAAAATTTGGTGGCATCTGGATAACGTGGATAAAGATTTTATGACATCTGGATAACGTGGATATAGATTATATGACATTTGGATAACGTGAATTAATATTATACGACATCAGGATAACGCGGTTAACGAAGTTATGGCATTTGAATAACGTGAATAAATGTTATACGACATTTGGATAACTTAAATAGCGTTTTTATGACATATTAATGATGTGGATAAAGGTTTTATAACATAAGGATAGCGCGGATAAAAATATTATGGCATTGACATAGCATGGATAATTATTTGATGACATGAATAACTATTTTATGACATGTGGATAACGTGGTTACGGGTTAGAACATGTTAGGATATATAATCCGAAATATCCGGTTGAATAGATACATTATCCGGCATTATCCAGGGGGTTTCGATTCATTATCCATGATATCTAAATGTCGCAGATACCTCATTCGCGTTATCTGGAAGTCGTAGATGCCTTATCTACGTTATCTGGATTGTGTAGATAACGTGAATAAATATTTGATATCATGGATAACCAATTTATGACATGTGGATAAAGTGGTTACTGATTTTAAGAGGTTCGGATACATTATCAACCTCATTTGGGTGGTATAGGTAAGTTATCAATGTTTTAGATACATTTTTTACGTCGTTTATATTCTGTAGATACATTATCCATTTTACTTAGAAGGTGTAGATACATTTTTTACGTTATAGATACATGTTTCACAACACATAAATGTTGTAGATACTTTATCTACATTATATAGAAGATGTAGATACATTATCAATTGCATATAGAAGGTCTAGATACATTTTTCAGGTTATAGATACATATTTCACGTTATCTAGATGTTGTAGATACATTATCTGCCTCATATAGCAGTTGTAAATACATTATTCACATTATAGATACATATTTCACGCTGCCTAGATGTTGTAGATACATTATCCACATTATAGAGAAGATGCAGATACATTATCCGCGTTATTTAGAATTAGTAGATATAATATTAACGTTGTAGATACATATATCACGGCACCTAGAAGTTGTAGATACATTATATACATTATATAGAAGATGCAGATATATTATTCACGTTATTTAGAAAACGTTGATACATTATTCACGTTAAAGATACATTTTTCACGTCACCTAGATCTTGTAGATACATTATCTGTATTATATAGAAGATGCAGATACTTTATCCACATTATTACCATGTTGTAGATACAATATCCACATTGTAGATACATATTTCACGTCACATAAATGTTGTAGATACATTATCTACATTGTATAGAAGATGTAGATACATTATCCGCGTTATTTGCAAGTTGTAGATACATTATCCACGTTATTTAGAATTTGTAGATACCTTATCCACGTTAGTTAGAAGTAGTAGATACAATATCCACGTCATCGATACATGTTTCATGAAACTTAGATACATTATCCACATTCAAGTAGAGGGTGCAGATACATTACACGCGTTATATGAAAGGTGCAGATACAATATCCAGGCTATAGATACATTTTTCACTTAATAGATACACTTCGTCTTATATTATATGTATATAATATAATATAATATAATATAATATAATATAATATAATATAATATAATATAATATAATATAATATAATATAATATAATATAATATAATATAATATAATATAATATAATATAATATAATATAATATAATATAATATAATATAATATAATATAATATAATATAATATAATATAATATAATATAATATAATATAATATAATATAATATAATAAAATATAATTTGTTAAATGAAAATTAAATTTAGCGTTTTCTTTAATACTATTCCTGTTTTATGGCTACCTTTTAAAAATAACCATCCAATTTCATTGAAAAACATAGTAATTCATATTACCCATCTCCGCAACTTGACAGTTAGGCCCCCAAACAAAAGGTATTTCACTCTTTCTCTCTCTCTCTCTTGCTTGCTGATGAGCCCCAAAACCACGAATCAGCTAAACAAAACAAAAAAACTAAAAAAAAAAATATTGTTATTATTATTGTAGATTGATTACAACAACAGCAGCAGCAAAAAGGTCAATGGCAACATGAATAGAATTGTTCAAAAAAAAATTATGGGCAATCAGTTGTGGTCATAGTCCGAATGGCAAAAGAAGCGCCGTGACGCGCCGCATAAAATTAAACAAAGAGAAAGTGTGTAAAAGTAGTTAACGAAAAATCGACTAGTTTTTAGTACTGACTACACAAAGAAAAACAAGAATTTATATAACAAGTGGTCAAATCCATTATCTCGGCGGGCGATTAGAGGTCTATTGGCTGCCTATCGAAGATTAGTGTGATAAGATTTTGTGGAATTGAAGCAAAGCAAAATGCCCCCGCGTTTTATTATCTGATTGCAAAATTTTAGTCTTAAGAAATTTCAATTAGAACTCCATTCAAAGTTGACTACGAAAGACTTTGAAAACAGTTATTGTCAAACCCTTGCGGTGGTCGGTTGTAGGAAAAGTGTTTCGTTCCCTCCAAAAAGGAAAAGTCTAAAGAAAAACTAAACAGTTACAAATTATGGCGGAAATTGCTGAAATTGGCATGTAAGTGTGTGTGAAATGTGTGTTGGCAATAGGTGTGTCTGGTTACCCTAAAATTTGTAACAATTGTTACCAATTGTTACTGGAAGTCGTCTGTTAACCCAAAAGTTCTGCAAAAGAGAGCGGTTGGAGAGAGAAATTTTGACAGTTGTTTCAGTGAGAGTTTGCAAATTCTTGCTGGACAAATTTCTTCTTGCAATCACTTGCAACTCTTCTTCTTCTCATTCATCGACATTCAATCAGATGTTTTCTAATGTTTGTTTATTTCTTTTTGTGATTTCAATTTGGAAATATCTTTTTGGAATTGGCAAGACTAATTGCTTTTGGAGAACAACTTTACAAAATGTGGAAAACGCAAATATTAATATGTAATAGGAAAATAAAAGACTATTTCCAACATTTTTATACAAACGCCATTAGGAACACGTTTAATGGATTCCAGGGAACACATCAAACCTATCTCTATTTTATTGCTTATATTTTTATTTTATTGCTAATTTCCTTTTTATTTATAAAAATTGTAAAATTGGTGATCTTCTTTTCTTTTAATTGGTTGGACATATTGGTTTGTTTTGACAAATCAGCTGATTAGTTGCAAGCTTCTGCAGGAATACCGTCTGTTTACTTTTCGCAATTTCCTTGCAAAAGAGAATAAAACTACCTTACTCTCTCAGAAAGATGTTGCTGGACAATTCCTGCAGGAAAAGTAACCAGACACACCTAATGTGTTGTGAAACGTGTTAAAAAGAAATAACAAATGAGTTGCGCCTTGTTTAATTTATACAAGTGTACTCTCCGCTCTACTCTCTCGCTTTGTTGGTCACATAAACAAAGCTGAGAGACAATGTAACTCTACAGTGGATTTGAGGTTATGTTTAATTGGACAATTAATTTGTAACGTTTGGAAAGAAAAGAAACGTTTGGTTTTAAGAAATATTTTAAGAAATTTATTACGGATTTTAAAAATATTTAATAAATATTTATAAAGACCAACAAGTCGTAAAATAGAAAGAATCAAAAAATTTAAAAAAAAAAACGCCAGAAAGTTGTGGATTTTTTTTAAAAATAGGTACTTTTAGTGTCATAACTAAATCAAGGAGTTAAAAAATAATTCTTAAATAAAACAATGTGAAATGCTGGCAAACATTTTTTTCAAAGACTTTTTAAGTGGCCCTTAGAAAAAAAAAAAAAAAATATATATATAAACAGGGCCGGATTTAAAAATAATTAAGGTCGTAGAAGACAAGTTTTTTAAAATCTTTTTTTTTAAATATATTTTTCAAAGATCATTCAAGTTTTGATTAAAAAAAAATATTATTATTTTTTATATAATTTATAAAAAATGTTAACCTTAAAAATGTTTTTAGTAGTGAAATAGTAATTTTATATATATTTTTTAGACAAATAAATTTTTTTTAGAATTTTTCTTATTTTTAAATATAGTTTTCAAAGAACATTTAAGTCTTGGATAAAAAACTAATATTTTTAATAATAAAAACAAAATTAACCTTAAAAATGTTTTTTGGTATTGAATTAGTTATTTTATACATTTTTAAAACAAACTAAATTTTTTTTTAGTATTTTTTCAAGAAAATATTTTTTTGTATTTAATTTGTTTTAATTAAAAAATGTATTAACTTTTTTAATAAATTTAAATTTTAATTTTTTGCGTTAAATTAATTTGTTTTAATTAAAAAAATGTATTAAATTTTTTAATAAATTTAAATCTTAATTTTTTGCGTTAAAATGTTTGTTTTAAACACATAATTAGTTTAAATTAAGAACATGTAATATTGAAAACTAAAGTTTAAATATTTTTTGATTTTTTATTTGTTTATTTTTTTTTTTTTTTTGTTGGAAATAAATATATTTAAAGAATGTTAATAATATATTTTTGTAGAAGATAAGTATTTTAAAAATATTTTTTTTAATATTTGTTAAAAATTATTTAAAGAAAATTTATTTTTTTTAAATAATTTATAAAAAAATGTTAACCTTAAATTTGTTTTTAGTATTGAAATAGTAATTTTATATATTTTTTTAGAAAAATTAATTTAGTATTTTTCTTAAATAATAAAAATACCTGGAATTTTTAACAATTTTTTAAAGTCATAAATTTAAGTTGTTTAAAAATATTTCTTTAAAATATATTTTTTAAAATTTATTTAAGTCTTGGATAGAACAAAAATGGGTTTATTTAATAATTAAAACAAAATTAACCTTAAAAATGCTTTTAGTATTGAATTAGTTATTTTTTATATATTTTTGAAACAAACTAAATTTTTCTAGCATTTTTCCTAGGAAATATTTTTTTATATTTTATTGGTTTAAATTAAAAAAAAATGTATTAAATTTTTCAAATAAATTTAAATCTTAAATTTTTTGCGTTAAAATTTAAAGAAAAAAAAATTTTTTAATAATTTATAAAAAATGTTAACCCTAAATTTGTTTTTAGTATTGAAATAGTAATTTTATATTTTTTTAGACATATTAATTTGTTTAATATTTTTCTTAAATAATAAAAAGACCTGGAATTTTTATCAATTTTTTAAAGTCATAGATTTAAGTTGTTTAAAAATATTTTTTAAAATATACTTTTTTAAATTTATTTAAGTCTTGGATAAAAAAAATATTTTTTTAATAATTAAAACAAAATTAACCATAAAAATGTTTTTAGCATTAAAATAGTTATTTTATATATTTTTAAAACAAACTAAATTTTCTGGTATTTTTCCTAGAAAATATTTTTTTTTTTATATTTAATTTGTTAAAATTTAAAAAAAAATATTAAATTTTTAAATACATTTAAATCTTAATTTTTTGTGTTAAAATATTTTTTTTAATACATAATTAGTTTGAATTAAGAAAATTTTATATTGAAAGCTAAAGTTTAAATATTTTTTGATTTTTTTTTTAAATTTATTATTTATTTATTTATTTATTATTTTTTTTTTTTTTTTTTTTGAAATATATATTTCTAAAGAATGTTAATAATATATTTTTTGTAGAAGAGAAGTTTTTTAAAAATATTTTTTTAATATTTGTTAAAAATTATTTAAAGAAAAAAAATTTTTTTAAATAATTTATAAAAAATTTTAATCCTAAATTTGTTTTTATTATTGAAATAGTAATTTTATATAGTTTTTTTAGAAAAATTAATTTGCTTAGTATTTTTCTTAAATAATAAAAATGCCTGGAATTTTTTACAATTTTTTAAAGTCAGAAATTTAAGTTGTTTAAAAATATATTTTTAAAAATATATTTTTCAAAGACCATTTAAGTCTTGGATAAAAAAATAAATTATTTTATTTTAATAATTAAAACAAAATTAACCTTAAAAATGTTTTTAGTATTAAATTAGTTATTTTATATATTTTTAAAACAAACTAAATTTTCTGATATTTTTCCTAGAAAATATTTTTTTTATATTTAATTTGTTAAAATTTAAAAAAAAAATATTAAATTTTTAAATAAATTTAAAATTTTTGGTTTTAAAATATATTTTTTATACATAATTTGTTTGAAAATTAATATTGAAAACTATAATTTTAATATTTTTTGAATTTTTTTATTTTTTGGAAAAAAATATTTCTAAAGAATGTTAATAATATATTTTTTGTTAAAAATTAAAAAAAAAAATATTTTTAGACGGAATTTTCAATTTTAATAAATTTAGAACGCTGAGGCTTTAGCTTTTCAAAACGAAATTTGACAGAATTTTTGTAAAAAATATATATTTTTAAAATTTTTTTTTTTAATAATTAAAAAGATTAAAATTAAAAGATTCAAACCATATTTATTTTAAATATTCTTTTTAAAATTGAAACAAGAGAATATTACATTTTTTAATATTAAAAAAAATAATATTCTTTGTTTAATATTTCGAAAAATTTTTTAAATTTTTTAAAAATTACCAAATTTGCCAGCATTTCTAGAAAACCTATTTTTTAAGATCTGGTATTTTTTGAATTTTTTTATTTTTTGGAAAAAAATATTTCTAAAGAATGTTAATAATATATTTTTTGTTAAAAATTAAAAAAAAAATATTTTTAGACGGAATTTTCAATTTTAATAAATTTAGAACGCTGAGGCTTTAGCTTTTCAAAACGAAATTTGACAGAATTTTTGTAAAAAATATATATTTTTAAATTTTTTTTTAATAATTAAAAAGATTAAAATTAAAAGATTCAAACCATATTTATTTTAAATATTCTTTTTAAAATTGAAACAAGAGAATATTACATTTTTTAATATTAAAAAAATTAATATTCTTTGTTTAATATTTCGAAAAATTTTTAAAATTTTTTAAAAATTACCAAATTTGCCAGCATTTCTAGAAAACCTATTTTTTAAGATCTGGTATTTTTCCTAGAAAATTTTTTTTTTATATTTAATTTTTTAAAATTTAAAAAAAATATTACATTTTTATATAAATTTAAATTTTTTAGTTTTAAAATATATTTTTTATACATAATTTGTTTGAAAATTAATATTGAAAACTAAAATTTTAATATTTTTTGAATTTTTTATTTTTTGGAAATAAATATTTCTAAAGAATTTTAATAATATATTTTTTGTTAAAAATTAAAAAAAATAATATTTTTAGACGGAATTTTTAATTTTAATAAATTTAGAACGCTGAGGCTTTAGCTTTTTTAGACGAAATTGGACAGATTTTTTTTAAAAAAAATATAAATATTTTTTAAAAAAATATTTTTTTTAATAATTAAAAAGATTAAAATTAAAAGATTCAATTTTTTTGTATTCTTCAAAAAAACATATTTTTTTAAATATTTTTTTTTAAAGTTGAAACAAGAGAATATTAAATTTTTTTAATATTAAAAAAATTAATATTTTTTTGTTAAATATTTCGATTTTTTTTTAAATTAAAGTTTTTAAAAATTACAACATTTGCCAGCATTTTAAAAAATATATTTTTTAAAGATCCGCCAATAAATTTCGTACCACCAATTGTATTCGACCTATTTGAACTTTCAAATCAATTGTAATTGCAAACCAAACAACAACAGCTGATTTGACCATTGAAACCTGATTGTTTTGTGTTTGGTTTTTCGTCATTCAAAAACAAAGCTTCACTGGAAGCTTAGCTTAAGAATTTTTATCCAATATTGAAACTCTGTGAAACCAAAATTAATTCCTAAAATTTATTTTCAATTTTTTTCTTTCCAAATGGATATCACAAAAAATAAACTTCTATTTATTTGGCTACAAAATGCGTATTCCAGTGATTCGAATCAGGTGGCGACGGAGGTCCAGCCCAAGAACATACTCAATGATAAGAAAATATTCCCCGACTTCAAATCCGGACCACTGACGGCCTATCGTGAGAAGAGTTCGTTCTGTCACAAACGCATGAATGTCCTGCTGGAGGGTGAGGATCACATTCGTCTCAAGGTGAGTAGTGCAGATGAATAGAAATATTTTTAAGATTTTTGTTTCTCAATTCGCAGTTTTCTACGAACATGCAATGACCGATCATTTCAATCATTCCCATTCGAGGAGGACAAAGTCCATGAAATTTGCCTCAACGACTGACTGGCTATCGCCTTAGTTAGAATGTTTATTTTGTTTCGTTATTCGAAGTTCTTATGGGGTGCCGTTTCGTTTTTTTATTGGTGGTCTCTTGGCCTCTAGTTCAGTGTACTTGTTGTGCACCCAAGTAGATTAGGTGAAAAAAATTGACTTGATTTTTTTTTCAATTTTTAATTTTCGCACCTAGACACTAATGCCCCCATACATGGATATTCTAATCAATCGAATGGTTTAGTGTTACCTGACATCACCATGGGGTGAAAGAGAAGAGGCAGAAGAGGAGGTACAAAAATACCTTTGGATTTTTTAAAGAATTTTTTGGAGCTACAGAAAGACCTAGAAACGTGGATTTTTTAAAGAATTTTTTGGAGCTACAGAAAGACCTAGAAACGTGGATTTTTTAAAGAATTTTTTGGAGCTACAGAAAGACCTCGAAACGTGGATTTTTTAAAGAATTTTTGGAAGCACAGAAGGATCTCCAAACGTGGATTTTTTAAAGAATTTTTGGAAGCACATAAGGATCTCCAAACGTGGATTTTTTAAAGAATTTTTGGAAGCACAGAAGGATCTCCAAACGTGGATTTTTTAAAGAATTTTTGGAAGCACAGAAGGATCTCCAAACGTGGATTTTTTAAAGAATTTTTGGAAGCACAGAAGGATCTCCAAACGTGGATTTTTTAAAGAATTTTTGGAAGCACAGAAGGATCTCCAAACGTGGATTTTTTAAAGAATTTTTGGAAGCACAGAAGGATCTCCAAACGTGGATTTTTTAAAGAATTTTTGGAAGCACAGAAGGATCTCCAAACGTGGATTTTTTAAAGAATTTTTGGAAGCACAGAAGGATCTCCAAACGTGGATTTTTTCGGAGGCACCAACAGGTCTTAAATGTGAATTTTAAAAATTTTATCTCATTTTCTTATCATGTTCTGTTTAACAACCACCTGATTAGGAGCTAATCAGATTATCAATATTTCGCGTGTACGTATTACAAGTGAACTTTATAATCGAACTCAAAAATTCGCATTCACTTTGGCGGAACTGCAATCTAAGCGATCAATTATCTCCATCGTAAAAAACGTTATAAATTTAGCTCATGATTTGGCTAATCTCAAATGACGGCCCAAAGTACACAAGTATCGATATTTGAATAATCACGTAGGTATTTCAAATACACATGGAGAGCATGAATACGGATTGATAAAAAAAAAACTTAATTTCTGGTACTATTTTTTATAGTCAGATATTCCGAATTGCGAATGATATAAAAAATACAAAAAAAGATCTGTTTGCCCCGCCAAAAAAAAAATTAAAATTCCCGATTTTTGGTCCCTTCAAAGTTTATTTAAAAACCAAGTCCTCAAGACCGACCAATTGGTCCCTAAATTAAACGTTCGGTATTCAGGTTCACCCAAAGAATTTTTAAAAAATTTAACAGTTTTTCAAAAAAAATCCAGGTCCTCTGAAAAAAATCCCTTGAAAAAATCTCCCGATAATCGTTAACATTTTTATAATTTTTTTTCAAAACATCCAGGGTCCTCTAAAAAATTCATAAAAAATATTCCACAATCGTTCAATTTTTTTTTTTCATTTATGGATCTTTAAGTCTTCAGGTTTCCCCAAAGAATTATTAAATTAATTTAACAACTTTTCGAAAAAAAAAAATCCAGGTCCTCTGAACAAAAATCCAGGTCCTCTGAAAAAAAATCTCCCCATAATCGTTAACTTTTTGTATATATTTTTTTTCAAAACATCCAGGATCCTCTAAAAAACCTCCCATAATCGTTCAATTTTTTTCATTTATGGATCTTGTGTCTCGTCTCCCCCAAAAACCTTTCAAAATCCCACCGATCAGATGACGACTCGAAATGACGACCATAAATAAATTCGTCACAAAATCCTCACTAGACACCTTAAATTTTTTACCCCCACCACACATACTCTTAATTTCAAATTTATCAAACTGCGGGGCCCGGATAATAAAACCCAGGCCCTCTCACAAAAAATTCTATTTTAGACTCATTAGAGTGCTCCTCTCCACGGAAATCTTTAGTAAAAGGCGAAAGATTTATTCGACAACTGAAGAGAAGCCAGAGTAATTTCATCCAACTCAAATCAAAGTATTTAAGAAATTGTTTCGCGAAGTGAATGAGAATTTTTCACACATAATAAGAAAAGATTGTGCAATGAAATAAGAACTTGAATAGAATTGTTGTGTTCTTTAAGGATCTGCTGCTTCTTGGATTCATTTTGATGAGGGTTGAAAGTATTTCAGACAATTCGGGTTTGCTAAAGGACATGAAAATCACACACACAATTCTACCTACATTAAAATCCGCTTGTAAGCCAGTGTGTTTGTTTGACGATGGAAAATAGGGATGGCATTCTTGCCAGATATGGTATGGCTCATAACAGTGTTGGCAAATTTAGGTACAATTGTACAAAAATCTACATGAGAATTTTTGTTATAATATATACTTGTTTTTATTTGCCACAACTTAAAATAATAGTTAAAAATTATTAAAAACCTTTAAAAATTTAATTCTGTAAAAAATCTATAGAAACCCATTAATTTTTTAAGAATCCTTTATTTTTTTATTTTGAAAGATCTTTCAAAAAGTCAATTGATTACCGAAAACATTATTTAAGATTTTTTACTTAAAAAATCCCTTCAAAAAACCCCTTTACTTAAAAAATTCTTCAAGATCTTATATTAGAAAAATTAAAAAAAAAATACGGAAAAGCCGTTTAAAAATGTATAAAAAATCGTAGGGAATTGCATAAAAATTCTTGAAAATGTACTTTAAAGAATCTTTCAAAAATTCATAGATTCTTATAAATATTATTTAAGAAAACTCTTTAAAAAATCTCAAAAAGTTCTCTAAAAAAAAAATAAAAAAAAATTAGAAAATTCCTGGAAAAGCGCTTTAATAACTTCTTCATAAAATCCTAAAAAAATAGAAAATTTCTTAAAAAAAATCTTGGAAAACTTACTTTAAAATATCTTTAAAAAATGCTTAAAAATCATGAAAATACCCACAGATTTTTCAAAATATTATTTTAGAAAACTATTCGAAAAAATTATAAAAATCATGAAAAGGCTTTAAAAAGTCCTTTCAAAATTCCTTTAAAAATTCTTAGAAAATTCCATAACAATTCATGGTAAAGGTATCTTTAAAAATTCAACCACATAATTTTAAAAATATCATTTTAGAAAACTCTTTGAAATCAATAAAAATTCATGGAATAGCGCTTTTAAAATTCTTTAAAAAATCCTTAGAAAATTATTTTATAATTCCAACAAATTCTTGAAAAGGCTACTAAAAAATCATTGACAATTTCTTAAATCTTCAAAAAAAAAATTATAAAAAAATTTTTATAAATATCATTTTAGAAAGCTTTTTGAAAATCCTTAAAAAATTCTCAGAAAATTTCCATAAAAATTTTTGGAAATGTTAATTTAAAATTTTTTTGAATAATTTTTCCAAAAAATCCAAAGATATTAAGAAAAAATCTTTAAAAATCAATGAATATTCATGTAAAGGGGCTTTAACAAATTCTTTGGAAAATCCTCAAAAAATCTTAGAATCATAAATCATAAAAAAATTCTTGGAAAAGTTACTTTAACAAATCTTTGAAAAAAATCTTAAAAAACAGATTCTTACAAATATAATTTAAGAAAACTCTTCGAAAAATCAATAAAGTTTCATTAAAAAATCCTTAGAAAATTCCATAAAAATTCTTGGAAAAGTTATTTTAACAAAATTCTTTAAAAATCTTACGGTAAATCCATAGATTCTTAAAAATATTATTTAAGAAAACTTTTCGAAAAACCAACAAAAATTAATGGAAAAGTGCTTTAAAAATTGTTTTGAAAATTCTAAAAAAAATCTTAGAAAATTCCAGAATGGAAAGTTGCTTTAAAAAATTGTATAAAAATTCTTAAAAAGTCATCGAAAAAAATCCACAGATTCATTTAAGAAAACTCTTCGAAAAATCGATAACAATTCATGAAAAATGCTTTAAAAATTTATTGAATATCCTAAAAAAAATTGCATAAAAATTCTTGGAAGAAGTTTTTAGAAGATTCAACGAAGAATTTTAGTAGTCTCCCGTGGGGGAATTTTTATACCCTACAACACTATGTGTTGGGGGTATTATAAGTTTGATTGGGCCAAAAATTATGTAACACCTCGAAATATTGATTTCTCACATAGGAAAGTATATATGGATCTTCCTAGCTCGCCGAGCTGAGTCGATCTAGCTATGTATGTCCGTCCGTCCGTCTGTCCGTCTGTCCGTCTGTCCGTCTGTCCATGTTAATTTGTAATCACTCTACAGGTCGCAATTATGGCGCGATCTTCACGAAATTTAGAATGGAGGTGGGGATAGGGTCAGAATAGAACCCTATTTCTTTTAGAGATGATCGCCAAATATTTAGGGGTTGAAATGGACCAAATACTGAAAAAATGTCGGATTTTGCAGTAGCTATACAGGTCGCAATTATAGATCAATCGACGCGGAATTTCGCATGTAGCTAGAGTTTAGGGCGGGGAAGAAGCCTACCAATTTAGGTGGTCATCGGATAATATTTAGCGGGTAAAATAGACCATATCTTTTGTGTTGAAAAAATTCAAAATTTTTCATTAAACCGCGAATATTTTAAATCCTGGCGAAATCACAAAGCCATGACAAGGTTACTCCTGATCTTTACATTGATGTTAACATCCAACAAAACGGATATATAGCATAATATGTGCGATATTTATGTCTATCAAAGAAGATATGCTTGAAAGATCTCTTATATGTCGAGAACGGCTGAACTGATTTCGACAGTTCTCATTAATTCAGAATGGCCTCTTGGCAAGACATAAAATACGTCTAAAAAAATCGCATAAAAATATCTATCTAAAGATGAAAATATTGATTTTGTAAAATTTTCTCATATTTTTTCAATTTTGTCATATTTTTGGCATATTTTCATTTTGAATTAAACATTTGGTAATATTTCTACAGCTAACAAAACTAAGTAGTTAGAATATCAGGATATCATATACAGATCGCATTTATGGTCCGATTCTTACGAAATTTTGCATGGGGATAAGATGAGGGTCAGAATAGAAGCCTACTCTTTTTGGAGATGATCGACATATATTTAGGGGTTGAAATGGACCAAAAAAACTGCCAAATTGTCAGCAGGTCGTAATTATCGCCCGATCCTCAGGCACATTTGAATGGGGGTTACCGGACATTGCAAAAGCCAAACAGTTTTGGATGGCCATCCAAAAATATTCAATGTGTGAAATAGTTTGCCAACTTTTGTAGACAAAATACGAAAATGTCCATTACAGTGACTTCTTGGAGAATTCACAAATACAGGAAAGACGCACTTCTGACTATTTCGTTAACGCTGATTTAGTTGCAGAATATAGTCAAATGGCTGTATCTCATATAGATGCGTTTCAGTCAAAAACCAATAATAAATGTTAATCTTTTGCCACTTCTGAAAGATTATAGGTCTTTGGGAAATATTGGTTCCAGATCTAGGAAGACCATTTAAGTGCAACATCTACCAATAAATTGGAAATAAGCAAATTAGTTTAAGTTGCTATTATTCGAAAATTAGAGAACGAAACCTGATGGTTTTCTTTTATTATTTGTCACAATATCTTGTGCAATTCTTTCGAGTATCTCGCCTATATAAACTGTATCGTTTATTGTAGAGTTGTAGGGTATTCAACGGTCGGCCCCGCTCGACTGTAGCCTTTGCTTACTTGTTTAAAATAATTTTTTTTTTTTTTTTTTTGAATGGACTAACAGAGATTTTTTGCAAATTTGATGTACAAATTGTGGATTTCAAACAACTTTTTTGAAACACGTTTTTCAAAGAATTTGTCTGATATTTTTGGATTTTTTGTGAACCGGACCTCTGTTAATTTTTCATAAAGAACATGTGATTTTTTTGTAATTTTTTAAAAAATTTTCAAAGATTTTTTTAAGTAACTTTTCCAAGAATGTTTTGGAATTTCCTAAGAAATTGCTTAATGATTTTTCAAAATAATTTTTCATTGAATTTTTAATTGATTTTTCGAAGAGTTTTCTAAAACGATATTTTCGAAAACTTTTTAAGAATTTTTAAACAAGAGTTCTTGAAAAATTCATAATTTGTGTATCATTTTTTTTTTAAGTCCACACCCAAATTCACAAAAATTATCTGAAAAATTATTTTTTATAAAAATCTCACAGAGAAAGTTCTATGAGTGACTACGAAAATTCTTCTGGAAATTTCTGAAAACTTCTTCCTCAAAAAGTTTAGAAAATATCCACAATTTTTGAAAAAATCTGACATTGCTAAATAGACATAGAATTTTATGGTGATCAAGAATATATACTTTGTGGGGTCTAAAATGAATATTTCGAAGAGTTACAAACTGAATGACAAATTCAATATATCCTCCATACTATAGTGGAGAGGATAAAAATATATCAAATAAAAAATATATAGAGATAAATAGGCTAAAGCTCTGATGGCCGTTCAAAAATTCAAGTCTGTCATCTCAAAAAATTCATTCAAGTAATATGAAAAATTAAGATTTTTTAATTCATTAAAAAGTTCCGAAAAATTCACACATAAAGCTCTAAAGGTTGTTTAGAAAATTCAAGAACTTTTTCTTTTAAAAATATATTTGTTTAAAAAACCAAATTTGATGTAGATTCTTAAACGTAATTTAAAAAAACTTCACGTTTGATATAGGTTCTTAAAAATATTTTTTTAAAAAAATCCACGTTTGATATAGGTTCTTAAAAATATATTTTTAAAAAATCCACGTTTGATATAGGTTCTTAAAAATATTTTTTAAAAAATCCACGTTTGATATAGGTTCTTAAAAATATTTTTTAAAAAATCCACGTTTAATATAGGTTGTTAAAAATATTTTTTAAAAAATCCACGTTTGATATAGGTTGTTAAAAATATTTTTTAAAAAATCCACGTTGACATAGGTTGTTAAAAATATTTTTTAAATAATCCACGTTTGATATAGGTTTTTAAAAATATTTTTTAAATAATCCACGTTTGATATAGGTTGTTAAAAATATTTTTTAAAAAATCCACGTTTGATATAGGTTGTTAAAAATATTTTTTAAAAAATCCACGTTTGACATAGGTTGTTAAAAATATTTTTTAAAAAATCTACGTTTGATATAGGTTTTTAAAAATATTTTTTAAATAATCCACGTTTGATATAGGTCCCTGAAAATATTTTTTAATAAATTCACGTTTGATATGGGTTCTTAAAAATATTTTTTAAAAAATCCACGTTTGATATAGGATGTTAAAAATATTTTTTAAAAAATCCACGTTTGACATAGGTTGTTAAAAATATTTTTTAAAAAATCCACGTTTGATATAGGTTTTTAAAAATATTTTTTAAATAATCCACGTTTGATATAGGTTGTTAAAAATATTTTTTAAAAAATCCACGTTTGATATAGGTTGTTAAAAATATTTTTTAAAAAATCCACGTTTGACATAGGTTGTTAAAAATATTTTTTAAAAAATCTACGTTTGATATAGGTTTTTAAAAATATTTTTTAAAAAATCCACGTTTGATATGGGTTCTAATAATATTTTTTTTAAAAAAAAATACACGTTTCATATAGGTTCTTATTTTTTTTTAAATCCACGTTTGATATAGGTTTTTTAAAATATGTTTTTAAAAAATCCACGTATAGGTTCTTGAAAATATTTTTAAAAAAATTTACGTATAGGTTCTGAAAATATTTTTTAAAATATTCCTGTTTGATATAGGTTCTTGAAAATATTTTTTAAAATATTCCTGTTTGATACAGGTTCTTGAAAATATTTTTTAAAAGATCCCTGTTTGACATAGGTTCTTAAAAATATTTTTTAAAAGATCCCTGTTTGACATAGGTTCTTAAAAATATTTTTAAAAAATCCCTGTTTGATATAGGTTGTTAAAAATATTTTTTTTAAAAAATCTACGTTTGATATAGGTTGTTAAAAATATTTTTTTAAAAAATCTACGTTTGATATAGGTTGTTAAAAATATTTTTTTAAAAAATCCACGTTTGATATAGGTTGTTAAAAATATTTTTTTAAAAAATCCACGTTTGATATAGGTTGTTAAAAATATTTTTTTTAAAAAATCCACGTTTGATCTACGCTCTTAAAAATAATTTTAAAAAAATTAAAAAAAAATCTCCGAAAAAAAATATTCTCAAAAATCTTCGAAAATATCTCTGAATTTATTTGAAAAGAAATACTCAGCATTGTAACATTTTGTACAACTCAACGTACTTTTATCAACTGCTTGAATCGATGCAAACATTGAACATACCTGCGCACTACCAACCACTCAAACTACAACAACAACATAACTGAGTTGTGACACATCACCAAGCAACCACCACATGGTTTCTTTCGACTGCTTGAATCGATAGCAGCAGACACACACAAAAATCCCGCGACACGTTGTCGTTTTTCAATTCAATGCACATTTCGAATTGTTCTTTCCGTTGCTGTTCACTTATAATTCTCATTCACCTTGTAGTGCTCTAAATACTTAACATTCGCTTAGTGAGTGGTAGAGTTATCGCTTCTCGGCCTTATGGCTAAGATCAAAGTGTAGTATCTGTTCTTATCAGCTTAACATCTGATAGATCCTCCATCGGAGGACAACAAATGTTAAACTGATTTTTGGAAATAGACGGGATGTTTAGGGGCTTGCTCCACTCCTGTCGCGGGTTGGCCCGGTATTGCAGTACCGCCGGGATTTCGGCCCACATTAAATGAATAAATTTCAATAAAGTAGTTAAGAAGAGGAAGAGGGCATGTTCGTACTCTTGGCGAACATATTTTGGAATAAGAAATGCAAGGGAGGGGAGAGGGTATATTAAGTTTGTCATTCCGTTTGTAACACCTCGAAATATACATTTTATAGACCCCACAATGTATATATATTTATATATACTAGATCAGCATAAAATTCTACGTCGATTTTGCGACGTCAGCCCGTCTGTCACTCACATATATCGGTACATAACGATATTCGGTATTTGGATGATTTTGGCGACATTATTCACCGGAATTGTCTCAAATTTGGTATTTGAAGTTCGTAATGGATACTACAGCCTATGACAGAAAATTGTCTGTGCAGGTCCACGTCTTCGTATAGCCCCCATATAACGTTACCTCCCGATATTCGGTATTTGGATGATTTTAGCGACATTATTCACCGGATTTGTTTCAAATTTGGTGTTTGAAGTTCGTATTGAATCCTACGGTCTAAAACAGAAAATTGTCTGTGCAGGTCCACGTCTTCGAATAGCCCCAAAATAACGACTACATTCGATATTTTTAAGATTTTAACGGATTGTATTTTTTTTGAGCATTGCCAAAATCGTTGCAAATGGTGGAGGGTATGCAAAGTTCGGCCCGACCGAACTTACAGCTTTTTTACTTGTTTTTCTTTTAAAAATAAAATTTTAAAAATTCCTTTAAAAAAATTATATAAAATATTTTTTTTATAAAAATTATATTTTTATTGAAAAAAATATATTTTATAATAAATTTTCTTTAAAAAGGAATTTGAAAATTTATTTTTAAATGGAAATAAATTTTCAAAAAATATTTTTAATTAAAAAATATTTTTGATTATTTTTTATTGAAAAAAAAAAAAATATTTTATATAAAACATTTTCTTTAAAAAGGAATTTGAAAAATTTATTTTTAAATTGAAATAAATTTTCAAAAAATATTTTTTATTAGTAAAATATTTTTAATTAAAAAATATTTTAATATTTAAATATTAAAATATTTTATTAAATATTAAAATATTTTTTAATTAAAAATATTTTACTAATAAAAAATATTTTTTGAAAATTTATTTCAATTTAAAAATGTTTTATATAAAATATTTTTTTTTTTCAATAAAAAATAATTAAAAATATTTTTTAATTAAAAATATTTTTTGAAAATTTATTTCCATTTAATATAAATATTTAAAAAAAATTTAAAAAAAAAATCAATTGAAAATTCACTATCCTGCTTAAAATATATAATATTTATAAAAATTGTTTTTTTTTTTTCAAATTCCTTTTTAAAGAAACATTTTTATTAAAAAAAATTTTTTTAAATAATTTTTCTTTAATTATTAATTATTTTATTAATTTTTTTGAAATAGAAAATATTTTTTGAAAATGTTTTTTATTAAAAAATTCTTTGCAAATATTTAAATATTTAATAAATAATTGTGTATTATTATTATTTAAATCAAAAAATATTTTTTATTTTAAAAATTTTTAAATATTTTTTATAAAAAAAATATATTATAAAAAAAAAATTATTAAAAAATATTTTGAAAATTTTTTTTATTAAAAAAAAACTATGTTTAGAAAATGATTTTAAATAAAAAAACTATTTTTTAAAAAATATTTCTAAATTAATATCTTCTCCTCCCCCTTTTCAGTATTTAAAAAAATTTAAATAAAAAAATCAATTGAAATTCACTATCCTGTTTAAAATATATTTATAAAAAAAAATAAATAAATTATAAAAATTGTTTTTTTTAAATTCCTTTTTAAAGAATTTTTTTTAAATATTTTTTTATTTAATTTTTAATTATTTTATTAAATTTTTTGAAATAGAAAATATTTTTTGAAAGTGTTTTTTTTTTTAAATATTCTTTGAAAATATTTTTAATTAAAAAATATTTTAATATTTAATAAATAATTGTGTATTATTATTATTATTTTAATCAAAAAATATTTTTTATTTTTAAATTTTTTAAATATTTTTTATAAAAAAATGTATTTTGAAAAAAAATCTCTATTAAAAATATTTCTTGAAATTATTTTATTGAATAAAAAAAACATTTTGAAAATATTTTTTATTAAAAAAAATTATATAAAAAAATTTCTTTAAAAAGGAATTTGAAAATTTTATTTTTTAATGGAAAGAAATTTTCAAAAAATTTTAATAAAATATTTTTAATTAAAAAATATTTTATATATAATAATATTTTATAAATAAATACAAATATTTAAAAAAATGAAAAAAAAAATCAATTGAAAATTCACTATGCTGTTTAAAATATATAATATTTATAAAAATTGTTTTTTTTTTCAAATTCCTTTTTAAAGAAACAATTTTATTAAAAAAAATAATTTTTAAATATTTTTTATTTAATTATTAAATATTTTATTAAATTTTTTGGAATAGAAAATATTTTTTGAAAATGTTTCTTATTAAAAACTATTCTTTGAAAATATTTTAATATTTTATAAATAATTGTATATTATTATTAATATTTTAATCAAAATTTTTTTTTTAATTTTAAAATTTTTAAAATATTTCTTTTAAAAAAAATATATATTTTGAAAAAAAAAAATTATTAAAAAATATTTCTTGAAATTATTTTATTGAATAAAAAAATATTATGAAAATATTTTTTATTAAATTATTTGAAAGTGTTTTTTATTAAAAAAATATTCTTTGAAAATATTTTTAATTAAAAAATATTTTAATATATAATAAATAATTGTATGTTATTATTACTAATATTTTAATCAAAAACTATTTTTTATTTTAACATTTTTAAAATATTTTTTACAAAAAATTTTTTCAAAAAATCTTTTTTGAAATTATTTTATTGAATAAAAAAATATTTTGAAAATATTTTTTATTAAAAAAAAACTATGTTTAGAAAATAATTTTAAATAAAAAAAAACTATTTTTTAAAAAATATTTCTAAATTAATTTCTTCTCCTCCCCCTCCTTTCAGCATCGCATTTGGCAGTTTATGGAAAAACAGGAAGATTTCCAACGTGAACCCGAAACTCCCTCCCTGGAGCGCCAACGTCAGTTGGCCAACAAACGTCAACATTTGTTGTATCATCAGAATTTCTATGGTCTGGCTGAGTACATTTCCAATCCTCACCTCTCGTTGGCCGCTGCCCAGGCCATGTTCAGCTATGAATTCAGTTTTTCGGTGAAATATTCCCTTTCGATTGGTATGTTCCCCAGTACGATATTGTCGTTGGGTACCGAACGTTTGGGTTCGTATGCCAGTAAGATTCAAAATGGTGAAATTGTTGGTGCTTTTGCATTGACGGAAATTTCGCATGGTACCAATGCCCGTGGTATGCGTACGCGGGCTACCTATGACAAGAAGACAAAGGAGTTCATCATTCATACGCCCGATTTTGAGGCAGCCAAGTGTTGGGTTGGCAATTTGGGTAAGACGTGTACGCATGCCATTGTCTACGCGCAGTTGTATGTGCCCGATGACACGTATGTGGGTTTGTGTGCCTTCCTGGTGCCCATACGTGATGAGAGGACTTTGATGGCCTTCCCCGGCGTGACTGTGGGAGATTTGGGTGAAAAGATCGGTCTCAATGGCATTGATAATGGGTGAGTTCGTGACATTTTGTTGAAATACTTAAAACTAATCCGGATTCTTGCTATCCTTTCCAGCTTTGTCATGTTCAACAATTATCGCATTCCCAAGGATAATCTGTTGTCCAAGACTGGAGATATTGATGAACAGGGCAACTACAGCAGTCCCATTAAGGATAGCCGCAAACGTTTGGGTGCCTCTTTGGGCGCTTTGTCAGCTGGCCGTGTAAATATTTGCAATTTGGCCAATGTGGCCCTGGGCAAGGCCATTACCATTGCCACCAGATATTCGGCTGCCCGCAAGCAGTTCGGTCCCGATGAGACCTCTGAGGAGTGGCCTGTCCTGGAATATCAATCACAGGTGAGACGAACTTTTTAGAAATCTCTGAAAAAATTGAAAATAAAATTAATTTTTTAATATTTCCAGCAATATCGTCTCTTCCCCCACCTGGCCACCGCCTATGCCCTGAACGTTTTCAGCCTGTGGTTGGGCCATCAAAATGTCGACATGACAATGCGTTCGTTTATGGGCGAAGATACCTCAGCGGTGGGCATGGAAATCCATGCTGCCTCCTCGGCCTGTAAACCCATCTGCACATGGTCGGCCCGTGATGGTATTCAGGAGTGCCGTGAAGCCTGTGGTGGTCATGGTTACTTGAAGGCCTCCGGTTTGGGTGACTTGCGTAACGACAACGATGCCAACTGCACATATGAGGGTGAAAATAATACCCTAATACAACAGGCCTCCAATTGGCTGGTCGGCTTGAAGCGGTCCAATGCCAATTTTGCTGAAGTCTCACCCATGAACACTGTGAGCTTCCTCAAGGATATGGCACAGATATTGAAGCACAAGGCAGAGGAGAAGAATGCCAAGGAGGTGGCTTGTCCGCACAGTAAGTTGGAGTTGGGGGGGGAAAAGGAATATTGAAAAAAAAAAATATCGATGCCCAATGGAACCTGCAAAAATTATTTTTTTTATAAAATCTACAAAAAATGGGGCATTCATTGGGACATTCCAAAAAAATTATTAGAAGCCCACTGGGGCATTCTAAGAATTTTTTGAAAACAAAGACATCAATTTCGATTTTAGTTTTTAAAAACTTTAATTTCCTTTTCTTCCCTTCCAGATCTCCTCAAGGCTTTGAATTGGTTGGTGGCCTATCAATTGGAACATACGGTAAAACGTGTGGAGACCTTGAAATCTCAAGGTCTGGATGCCTTTGAGACCCGTAACAATATGCAGGTGTTCAATGCCCAAACCCTGTCCATTGTCTATGCCCAACGCACCATCTATGCTGTTTTCTATAACTTCGTAATGAATTTACCCGACAGCAATGAAAAGCAGGTTCTTTTGAAATTGCTCTCCATGTATGGCTGTCATATGGTTACCAAAAATGCCAGTATTTTCTATCAAGGTGGTTATTTCCGTCAGAATGGACAATTGGAATTGTATCAGGAGGCAATTTTGAATTTGTTGCCATTGATCAAGGATGAAGCCATTACCCTGGTGGATGCCATTGCCCCACCAGATTTTATTTTGAATTCTCCCTTGGGTATGAGTGATGGCAATGTAAGTGGAATTTGGAAATTTTTTCTTTTTATTTCATTTTAACTGAGGTGATGTTGAATTTTCCCTCTTGCAGGTCTACAAACATTTGCAAAGGGCAATTGTCTCCACACCTGGTGTCTTTGAACGCCCTGAATGGTGGCGTGAAGTTACCTACAAAAATTATATCAAGAAAGCCAAGATGTAAGGCTTGACAGGCTGTGAGAAATTAGAAAAAAAAATATTTTTTTAAAAGAATTAGAAAAAATACTGTTTTTGTTGTAATATAAATAAATATAATTTTTGTTATTTTTTTATACCTTAAAAATGGTTTACTGTGCGTTCTACACTTGCTGTTAGTTTTTGAGGGAAGGATGTGTGTTTTAGAAACTAATGGAAAAAAATAAAATTAAATAATTTTTATAAGTAGATTTCTTCTAACTTACTTAACAACTAGAACAACATAATATAACATTTTCGTATGTACAATACACACATGGTCATCATTGTCAATAATTCATTACATAGCTTTGGTTTAGTCTCCACAATTCATCTATACATATTTACAAAGTTTCGGTTATGGAAAAGAGAAAAATATTGGATCACAGTTATTTTTATGAGTCGTTTTAATATCATGTGGAATATGAAAAGCTTTAGAAGCAACCGCTAGGAAATATCTCCCGAACCGGACTCAAAGAAATCTTCTTCAAAGTCATTAGTGCTGCTGCTGCTGGGCGATGGACTCGTCGTTGTTGCCGGTGAGGTATCTGCCGCCGCATTATTCGTAGATGGGGTTAGTAGTTTATCAATGTTGGCTAGGGTATTTTCGGTTTGTTCCAACATTGGTATTTGCTGCGGCAAATCACTGGTGGCCCACAAGTACAGGTCTAGAGTTTTTTCCGTACATTCAGCAATGAAACGTACAAAGGGTCGTATGTCACCCTCATTGGCCACCTGGAGATATTGGTAATATTTGTGTCTGAAAAAAAAAAAAACAGAAAAAGGGGGTTCAATTTTTGTCATAAGCCATTACAATATTAAAATGCGAAACTTGAAAAAAATGAGGTGGATAATGTGGACATGCACAGACAATTTTCTATCATAGGCTGTAGTATCCATTACGAACTCCGAATACCAAATTTGAAACTATTCCGGTGAATAATGTTGCTTAAATCACCAAAATACCGAATATAGGGATGTACCGTTATATGGGGGCTATACTCAAACGTGGAGCTGCACCGACAATTTTCTGCCTTAGGTTCTAGTATTCCTTACGAACATCGAATACCAAATTTGAAACATTTGCGGTGAATAATGCCGCTAAAATCATCAAAATACCGATTATCGGGAGGTACGGTTATATGGGGGCTATACGAAGACGTGAACCTGCTCAGACAATTTTCTGTCATAGGCTGTAGTATCTATTACGCACATCAAATACCAAATTTGAAACAATTCCGGTGAATAATGTCGCTAAAATCATCTAAATACCGAATATCGGGAGTTGACGTTATATGAGGGCTACACGAAGACGTCGAGCTGCACGGACAATTTTCTGTCATAGGCTGCAGTATCCGTTACGAACTTCAAATAGCAAATTTGAAACAATTCCGGTGAATAATGTAGCAAAAATCATCAAAATACCGAATATCGGAGGGTAGCCTTATATGGGAGCTATACGAAGACGAGGACCTTCGCAGATAATTTTCTGTCATAGGCTGTATTATCCATTACGAACTTTAAATAACAAATTTAAAACAATTCCAGTGAATAATGTCGCTTAAATCACCAAAAATACCGAAAATAGGGAGGTACAGTTATATGGGAGCTATACGAAGACGAGGACCTTCGCAGATAATTTTCTGTCATAGGCTGTAGTATCCATTACGAACTTCAAATATCAAATTTGAAACAATTCCGGTGAATAATGTCACTAAAATCATCAAAATACCGAATATTGGAAGGTGCTGTTATATGGAGGCTATACGAAGACGTGGACCTGCACGGACAATTTTCTGTCACAGGCTGTAGTATTCATTACGAACTTCAGATGCGAAATTTGAAACAATTCCGGTGAATAATGTCGCTAAAATCATCAAAATATCGAATATAGGGAGGTACAGTTATATGGGAGCTATACGAAGACGTGGACCTAAACAGACAATTTTCTGGCATAGGCTGTAGTATCCATTACGCACTTCAAATACCTAATTTGAAACAATTGCGGCGAAAAATATTGCAAAAATTATTAAAATACCAAATATCGGGAGGTAGCGTTATATGGGGGCTATACAAAGACGTGGACCTTCGAAGACAGTTTTCTGTCATAGGCTGTAGTATCTATTACGCACATCAAATACCAAATTTGAAACAATTCCGGTGAATAATGTCGCTAAAATCATCTAAATACCGAATATCGGGAGTTGACGTTATATGAGGGCTACACCAAAACGTGGACCTGCACGGACAGTTTTCTGTCATAGGCTGTAGTATCTATATCGAACTTCAAATACCAAATTTGAAACAATTCCGGTGAATAACGTCGCTGAAATCATCAAAATACCGAATATCGGGAGGTAGCGTTATATGGGAGCTATACGAAGACGAGGACTTTCGCAGACAATTTTCTGTCACAGGCTGTAGTATTCATTACGAACTTCAGATGCAAAATTTGAAAAAATTCCGGTGAATAATGTCGCTAAAATCATCAAAATACCAAATATCGGGAGGTAGCGTTATATGGGAGCTATACGAAGACGATGACCTTCGCAGACAATTTTCTGTCATAGGCTGTAGTATCTATTACTAACTTCAAATACCAAATTTGAAACAATTCCGGTGAATAATGTCGCTAAAATCATCAAAATACCGAATATCGGGAGATGACGTTATACGGTAGCTATACGAAGGCGTGGACCTGTACGGATAATTTTCTGTCGTAGGCTGTAATATCGATTTCGAACTTTAAATACCAAATTTGACACAATTCCGCTGAATAATGTCGCTAAAATCATGAAAATACCGAATATCGGGAGGTACGGTTATTTGGGAGCTATACGAAGATGTAGACCCGCACAGACAATTTTCTGTCATAGGCTGTAATATCCATTACGATCTTCAAATACCAAATTTGAAACATGTCCGGTGAATAATGTCGCTTAAATCACCAAAATACCGAAAATAAGGAGGTACGTTATATGGGGACTTTTCCAAAACCTGCACTTACATGGCCCATTTTCAATATCAAAAGTCCTGCAGACATAATATACATTTGAGTAAAGTTGTATCAATCTACTTCATTTCCTTCGGAAGCTAGAGTGATTTCCACAGACGGAAAGACGAACGGACATTGCTAAATCGACATAGAATTCCCTTCAATTATCTTCCTTACCTTTGTTGCTTTGGTATAATAACTGGAGGGTAACCGGCCCTCATCAAGAGTGTGTTCATTAATAGCCTGGAAGTCCTGCCATTGCCGTCGATAAATGGATGAATGTGTACCAATTTGTAGTGGGCCAGAGCGGCATGTCTAGGGAAACAAAATTTAAAATTTAATACAATATCCTTCAAATAACTATTTTTCAAAAATTACTTGATTGGGTGCAAGGATAGACTCTGTTCTGAATTTAACCAATTTTCAAAATGGCGCATAAGAATAGATAAATCTCCGGGACCTGGGGGAACATGGCCGCCCACATAAACCTGAGTGCGGCGAAATTCCCCACCCTCAATGGGATCCACATGGCCCAAGACACGACGGTGTATTTCCAAAATGTCCTTTAGGGTTATTTCCATTCTAGATAGAGGATAAAGTACATGATATTATTTGTGAGGAATATTTTAATGTTTGAGCTTCTTACTTATTAACCAAACTGGCATTGATGAATTTCATGGCCAAATCCAAACCCAAAATTTCATTGTGTTCGTCAATCGATTTCCCATCCACAGCCATGCGAGTCTCGAGTATGGAACGAGTCTGAGCCAATGTCATGGTATTGCCCTCAATACCAACCGAATGATAGATATGTTGAAAATAAGCCTCTTTCTTTGCCCGTCTTAGGGCAGCGTTCGATTCATGTATACCCGAGAGGGCATCCCGCTTGCGATCTAATTCGAGTAGACGTCTCTCATCAATGGATTGTACAATGGCAGCGGTACGCTGGCGATGGGCCACAGCCTCTGAGCAGCCAGGATTTATGGTAAGAGCCTGGAAGTAGTATTGATCTGCCAAGACAACATCTCGTTGTTCCAAATATTCACCAAATCTCAGTAGGACCTCGGGATGTTTGGGCGCCAACGCATAGGCATGTTCAAATAAACGCTGTGCCTTTTCCTCCCTGCCCGACTGATGCATTTGTTGGGCAATTTTCAAATTGGCCAAGGCCTCTTTGACATTCGTGTCATCCTCTGGCGGTAGCTTGGCCACGGCCGCCCCACTTTCTCCATAGAATTCCTTTATGGCCTGTTGTGGTTGGGTATTTTCTTCTGCTTCCTTGGAATAAATGGCAAAATCGTCACGTATTTGCAAATAATGCTCGGCTGGCAAGTGTTGCAGCTGACGTTGTGGGTATTGTGCCGCCCATGGCATATGATAATAGATACAGGCTGCCAGCACTCCTGACAGGAACACAATCAAATGATGATAGGTCAAATGTAAAACCAATGAATTTCTGGGTCCAGTTGCTGTGGCTGCTGCTGCCACCACAAAATCACTGACCTCCATGGGGAATGTGGGTTGTCTGTCTAAGCACATATTTGATGTTTTGTGACCAGCTGCCTTTGTGGAGGCGGACAGGCGCCTGGGTTTTGTCATATTGTGAGTGGAGTTTTGGCTGCTTGCTTGTTGACTCTCCCCTCTCTTTCTCTCTCTTTCGTTCCAATGGAAAATTATTTCTATAAGTTTTCGTTTTTCCGGAATGTTTTATACAAATTTATTAAAATTTCCATTATTATTTTCAATTCAATTGCTTGAATGAATGTACGTGGTATGCACTGGATGGATCTGACGTGTACGCAGAAACAAAAACAACAGCTGACGTCGTATAGGGATCACAAGATCGATATGGTTTGTTAGGGTTGTAGAATCCGTTTTTGGGTGGTTGGCAACTCGGGCTGTGGTGTATGGATTTTATTTTTTAATATTGAAATCCACAAAATCTTATTAAATTATCTATAAAACATAAATTAAATATAAAATAAACGACACTCCCCAACAATCACACAAAAAATCATAGATACGGAGTAAATAACAACGCAATATGGCATATCTTGAGTAAAAGCCGACATATGAAAAATGGGAATAAATATGTGAAATCGAACAGAAATATCAAATGTTATTAGAGTTTTATAGACAGACGAATATTGGATTTATTAATGCGTTTTACATCCTTTGCGAATAGTTTTTTATATCGAATTAATAATTGTATATTATGTTCTTGATCAGCATAAAATTCTAAGACGGTATAGCCCTGTCGATCCATCTGTTTTAATCACGCTAGAGTCGAAACGAATTAAGATAGGCCAGTCCTTTGTGTGTTGTCAGGTCAAGTTCGATGATGGACCATGTCGTTCCACGTGTTCGTACAGCCCCCATTTAACGATACCTCCTGTTATTCGGTAATTTGATGATTTTAGCGACATCATTCACCCGAATTGTTTCAAATTTGGTACTGGAACTTAACTGCTTTTTGACTTATTTTGAATTTCCATTTACCATTATTTATCATGGTATATGCAATTTCATTCACCCCACGGTTCTTAGCTCAGTAATGAGGAAGCGTCAGGGAAATAAGCTGCTGCCTTTTTGTGGGGAAGCTCGATTTTTGACATCTTTCCACAAATATATTCTTTTTGACTGTTACGATGTTATTATTTATTAAAAGTATTCACTTTAAATGGATATCCTCTTATTTTGTCGGCAAGTTGAGTTGCCAATTCGGAAAAGATCAATTAAATATTTTTAATTTGCATCAAACATTTTGGGTTAGGGAAGAGAGGCAAATAATGAAGTATTCACTTTGAATGGATATCCTCTTATTTTGGATTGACAAATAACAGAATTTTGACGATGAACAGCAAACAGCTGTTATTTAATGAACGCATTCACTTTGAATGGATGGAATTTAGGTTCCCATTCTCCAAACAACATTATTTGAATTATTATTTTTAACAGAGCAAACGAGAAAATAATTCTGTCGTTACTTTGTATAAAAACAGTTTTCATTTACTCGAAATGGATACTAGCATTCACTCGAAATGGATACCCTCTGATTTTCTCATCAAGTGGTGTTGAATTGTCATAGAATAAAATAGGTAATCGCATCGACACAGCTACTGGGACAATGATCTCTCAAAGCAATTTTGAAATTGAAATTTTTGACTGGAAAATTATTCAAATTAGTAAAAATTGTTGAAAATTGCATATTATAACAAGCTCCGATTGATGCCGCATAAGAAAAAATCTACTTATTTTTGAAAAAAAAAAAATTAAAACATATTGACATATCAATGTTCCCAAGCATCTACCTGAATTCTTCTACCATGTGCTTTAATGAGTGAAGGACGGAAAATAATTAAGTAATTTTTTGTGGAAAATGAGAATGAATCTAGTTGGCAACTAACAACATTTTGACAATAAACATCAAACAGCTGTTATTGAATGGATCCATTCACTACGAAGGAATAACATATTGATATATCAATGTTGCCAAGCGTTGATGCTTCTACCATGAGCCGAAGTGAATAAAGGACTAAAAATAATTACCTGATTTTTGTGGAAAATCTAATTGACAGCAGACAACATTTTGAGAAAAAACATTTTTTTTTTTTTTTTTGTACTTCATACGTTGTCAAGTGTGTTGGTGGAACACGGAGTGTTCATTCACCAGTGCTAGTTGTTGGTTACTTGAAACCATATAAAAGTACTCTCTTTATTTCTCTTCTTTTTACATGAGGATACATATGTGTTAGTGCATCTAAGTATACATGAATATACGTATAAACAAAGCTTTTGTTTTTTTTTTTTTTTTTGAAAGGAGTGTAGCAAAACAAAACAAGAAAAGCAATATTTTGATTTTGACAGGATAAAAAGATTAAATGATTTCATAAAACAATTTTACATTTGCTAATGAAATTCAGGAGATCATCTATGAGTTGAAAATCTTTGGCCATGAGGACATCCGGTAAGTTATTGTGTGTTTTAAAAAGGTTGTGTTCATTTCTTTCTCTATTAAATTTCTTGCAGTGGAAGATAATGTGATTTTCATCCTCGATCACATTGCAGGTCTCGCATAAACTGGAGTTGGAAATACCAACACGGTGAAAATATTTTTTGGTATATGTATGTCCAGTAAAAAGTCTATTAATGATTTTTATGTTTTCAGGTTTCATGCTAGAGTTTTTATACCATGGTTGTTTGGGAGGATTTGGGAAGAAGCGGAAGAAATAAGATCCTTTGTGCAGAGAAGTTTCTTTGAAAAGTTCAACAAAATCGTTCCAGAGATTTGCTTCAATCTTTTGGATTGCATCTGTGACCGAGAGTTCATATGGTATAACACATCCAGCTTCCGTAGCTTGTTTTGCATAGAAATCGGCAGTTTCATTTAAGGAAATTCCAACATGTGATGGAACCCAAATAAAAGTCACTTTGCATATAGATGAGTTATTAATTTTTTGTATTATGTTGTATGTGGTGTAATTGTTGGAGGAGTTATCTTGTAAAAGAAGACACGCATTTTTACTGTCTGTGAAGATCGCAGCCATGCTGATTCCGTCTTCAATTATTATATCTATAGCTTTTTCTATAGCTCGTAGTTCTCCAGCTAGAGAAGATAACTTTTCTTCGATTTTAAATAAGAAGTTCTGACTTGAGGATATGTTACAGACAGCGCATCCTGTGTTATTATTGTTTACCGAGGCATCTGTTGCCCAAATGGAAACCCCTTGAGATTTTAGCTCGTTAAACATTTTGCGAAAATGAGATTGTATGCACTCAGAAGCAACATCACTTTTTGAGAAATTAAAAATGTTTAGTTTTGTCTCAATTTTTGACGATTTTACGTTGTAACCAATTCTTGTTTTATCAAATATGTTTTTGAAATTGTTGTAGACGTATCCAATGCTCGTTTTCTGAGATGAGTTCGTTGTGAAGTAATCATATAGAGAAAGATTATAAATTTTTAATCTTAACAACTCTTTAGCCGCAAGCTGTTGGGCTCTTAAATCCGTTGGAAGAATACCAGCGAGAGCACATACAACATGATTTGGCGTTGATGGCACCAGTCCCAAGTTTCTTCTTAAAAGTTGATTTTGAAAAGAAGTTAATTTTTTATTTATGTATGCTGGTCTGTGAGCCATTGATGATATTGCATATTCTGTCTTGGAAAAAATCAGAGATTTACTTAAATTTACTGCTTTTGCTGGATGTAATCCTTTCTTTGGGCCAGTTACCATCTTTAGAGCGTTTAAAGTGTTTTTGCAAGATAGTATCACCTCATCGTAATGTTCTTTCAAGGACAGACTGTTTTTAATGTGTCTACCCAAAAATTTTATGGATGTTACAACTTTAACCTGGTTTCCATTGATCATGACATGAGGTTTCTTACGGCCTCCTTTGGCAACATACATAACAGCTGTTTTTTCTATATTGACGCTAAGGTTTAATTTCATAAGTAAGTTGACGAAATTACTTGCTTTTTTTTGTAAAATTCTATTTGCCAGATCAAAGTCGAAGTCGTGAACTAATAGAATGAAGTCATCAGCGTATTGAAAAAGATTAGTGTTCCCATCTGAAATACCATGCAGGCCTAGTGTGTATAAATTAAACAGAGTTGGGCTTAAACAACTTCCTTGAGGAATGCCATTGTAAATATTTAGCAGGGAGTTTCCCATTCTGAGTGTTCTTTTGCATAGAAAGTTTAGGATCCAAGTTCTGATTTGCTCGGGAATATCCAATTGTTGCAAGATCATTCGTAGACAGCTGATGTCTACACATTCATAGGCCTTAGATACATCCATTGATAGTATAACAACTTTCTCATTTCTTTCCTTGTGAAAGTTTATTGTGTGAAGAATGTCGTTGATGCATGTTGATGTAGATACGTGTTTCCTATAGGCATATGATCTATGTGGAAGCAATTTGTTATCATCAATATAGAGATTTAGGCGTTGCTTTACCATTAGATTTATTATTTTTGCAAAAACAGAAATCAAGGCAATTGGCCTGAAATTAGTTGGAATATCCAGATCTTTGTCTTTTTTGGGAATGGGCACAATTTTGATTTCTCTCCATTCATCAAGATAATTGCAGTTTCTCCATAATTTATTATATGCGACTAAAAGATGGTGTTTGGATTGTATGGAAAGATTATTTACCATTTCATATGTTATGCCATCCAGGCCAGCTGCAGATGGCTTCTTCTTCATATCAAGAACTTTTTGTAGCTCTGCAAATGAAAAAACATCGGATTTTTTTAAGTATTCGTCATTGAAAATATTTTGATTGTTATTTGGAACTTGGTCCTTCAAATGTTGTAGAAAGACGATATTGTTGTCGGAACACCACTTTGAATGAGTTTGATTTTCAAAAAAGGACTTACATCCCTTGATGTAGCGGAAAAGAGACTTTGAGTTTGAGATGGTGTTTAACTCATTGATTTTGGAAACTTGTGCAAGGGCTTTGGCTTTTTTAACGGCATTTCTGAAATTATTTTTAGCTTCTATAGCATTTAAGGCATTTTCAGTATTTTTATAGCTTTCGAACTTTTTCTCAGCGGCATCTTTGAGACGAAGTAACCTTTTTAGATCCTCGTTCCACCATGAATTGAATTTTGTTTTCGGTCCAATAGCAAAAGTAGAATTCTTTACTTGATGACTTAACTCTGATTGTATTGTATGCATATCCGTTCCTATATGAAGATTGCATATATTATTCAAAAGGTGTTTTTTTGCAAGAAAGGTTTTTTCTTTATGTTTAATATTACTAATATCTAGTAGTATTGGCTTATGATGACTACCACCGATAGTAATGTTTTGCACCTTCCATGTAAAATGGTATGCCGAGTTAGTAAAAGTGAGATCCAGGACAGAACCAGGAGAATTGTCATACAAATTTTTCTTGAAAGTTGCAGAACCATCATTAATGCATCGGAATATTGAACCATCAAACAAAGTTTTCACAGTCGAACCACGAACAGTGTCAAAGATATCTCCGTAATCTCTGCATCTTGCATTAAAATCTCCAGCTATGAACACGTTTGGTTTTCCTTCAAGCAGTGTAAAAAGTTTAGATAATTCTCTCTTTAAATGATTGGATTTAACAGAATGAGGAAAATATACTGATACGAAGGTGAAATTGGGGCATAGATTAGTGGTTTCACAGACCAAAATGTCCAAATCCGTATTGAAAGAGATTTTTTTCATAAAAATATTGTTCTTATGTAAAAAGGCTACACCACCATAATTATCGCTTCGTTTTTTGCAAATCAAATTGTAATTCCTTAGGAAAGAGTTGTTATTTTTTTCGTTGACATTAAAAATTTCACTTAGTATACAGATGTCCACTGATAAATTATTTATGTATAAATCGAGATAGTTTTTGTTTTTACTAAGACTTTGAATGTTGTACTGCAAAATTTTCATTGTTTTTATTTGGGGGAACTTCAGAGTTTCCTTCTGAAGCTATCTTTAGTGCACTTGCAAAACAGTTTAACATGTCTAATCCTTCACTGCAATTGGCCTCTGATAAAATAATTGCCATTTGATTTGTAAAAGATGATATCATTTTTTCATATTCCGTAACTTTAGAAAAATTTCTAAAATCATATGATGGTTTGCTGGGAGTTATATTTTCTTCGTCTCCTGTTACGTGGATCCGTTTCGGAACCGAAGATACCACTTTACTATATTTAGTTTTTGTTAATTTCCGATTTAGCTCCTCATCCAGTGATTTGCGTACAGGCTTAGTCATTGTAGAAATCAAAGGAAAATCGTTCTCATATTGTGGGTCATCAAAAATTGCATAATAATTGGGCTTGCTTTTGCGAATAATTTCATTTCTGGACAGATTTGAGATAGCCATAGCCTCCCTAATATTTTTTTCCTCGGTGTACTTGGGACATTTTTTTGATTCCATGGCATTATGTTTATCGTCGTTACATAAAATACATCTGGGCATAGAACAAAAGTTATTGCATTTAGTGGTTGAGAGACAAAAGTCGCATTTTAATTCGCCACAATTATTAGGACAATCTATCTTCCTTCCACAGTGAAGACATCTTTTATATGATCGACATCTAATTGCAATGTGGCCCAGACGGCCGCAGTTTTTGCAAAGACGTGTAGGTGGGGTATACAATTCACACTCAGCTAAACAATTGAACATTCGTATTTGTTTTACCATGAAGTTCGCTACAATTCCTATTTTAATTGTTTGTGATGGGACGTATTGTCCATTTTCGTTCTTATAATTGAATCGGTATACAGACACCGCTTTAAAATCATTATCGCTGTTATTGATTTGATCTATGATCATTTTGCCGCTGAAAAAAGTAGGTACCGATTTTACAACATAAAATTTTTGCACAAATGTATCCGGTATAAATGCATTAAGGCCAATTTGCTTTACTTTCGAATCCAAAACAAAACTATTCGCTGAATCGCTGTTGTTGAAAGTTAAACGGAAAGTCTTGTATGCTATGTTTTTTGAAACAAAATGATAATTTATGTTTGCATTAGTTAGCTTTGCATATAAATGAAGCTCAGAATTTTTCCTCTTTGAGCTGATGGGTTCATCAGTCTTAACTAATACATAAAAAGGACCAGGATGCAGTTTGTTGTAGAGAATCTGTGTATTTTGATATGTTTTGTAGTTGTGAAAATCTTCTTGATTGGTGTTAGTTGTGGCCGCTATGGGAGTGGGATGGTTGGAGTGTGAGTTGTTGGGATGAATGGATTGTGAAATGATGGATTTATCGGTGTTGGCGCTATTGTTTGAATTATTGGGATTGGATCTATTTGTGTTGGAAATAATGGTATTGGGATAATTGGTAGTGGGGTTATTAGTATTTTTAGAAATAATTTCATTTGTATCATTGTTTTGATGACTGGTGTCTTCAGTAACTTGTGCAGCTGTAGATGTTGTTGGTGTTGGTGAACTCGTTTCCGAAACAAAAACCATTTTGTTTTTTATTGTTGTTGGTGTTTGAAGATTTTTAAACTTCTTGCTGTCCGGGTTACTTCCAGCCTCATATTTCCTCCTCGGCAAAAAACGAGGAGGTGGGTCCTCGTCATCCATCCGGTGAGTTGGAAAAACACTTTTCTTCAGAAAAAGAAATTGTTTCAATAATATAAAAAGAAACCAAAAAACGATTTGTTTTGTATGAAAATGTTACTGCAGTGTGTGTGTATGTGTGAGTAAACAAAAGACAAAGCAAAAAAGTCTTGGTTGCGACCGGCGCGAAAAAGTCTATCGTCAACAAAAGTTGAATAGCGACTGAGAAAAAAAAAAAAAAAAAAAAAAAAGACTAAGACTATTTTTCTTAGAACAAATGTGGAGATTTTAAGAATTGTTATCATAGCTTTAAAGAATTTTTTTTTTTCGTAGAAGGTGGGATTTTGAAAATATTTTCTAAGAATCCCAAAAATCAGTTAAGAGTTTTCCA